CTCAAAGCCTGAAAGACACCCTAGCCAACTACAGGGGAAGGCATATCCTCTCAATAGTTGATCAGCTTTACAGGTGCCCTCGTGGGCCCGGAGGAGCCGTAGTTATCCATTCCGGTAGACAGCCTTTGTCGGCATTTTTGCGTCCAACTTCAAAGGACGTAGGCTGCCCTTGGTGTTGCCAATGATCCGAGTCACTAGGCACGGTCCAGTATTCGGTGTTAGTTGCATATTACTAGGAGCTGTGGTTAATTCATAAAATGAAGCGTATCAATGGACTCCAAACTGCAGAAGATATAATCCTACGGGCTCAGGTACTGAACGATGTATATTAATCAACAGTGCTTCTCTTCACACCCAGTCTATACATATCAAAATTGCTATCAGCGCATCGTTATTCCCTTCATACCCCGCCTGTCCACTAGAGCACGCTCATTTCATCATCAGTGGCCATCGTCGTATATTTCGCTTTCGAGTCATTGTGTGCCTTGGCACTTATTGCATAACCTGCACGCAAAGCATACATCAGCACGTGAGTCCGATTTTACACGCCTTAACGCCCCTGCGAAGAGCCGGGTTTTCAAAGGCTAAAAGGTCATGTACGATTAACCTACCTTCTCTCTCAGTGTCCCCATCCACTGTTGGAAGCTCATCCCTTGGTCTGCCCTGTCCTCCAGCAACATTGTCTGCGCCCACAACTTCAAGCTTGGGTCTCCATCCTCCTTGACGATATATAGGTGTGGTTGGATTATGCTTCCAACGCCCCTGGACCTGTAATCCTTGCACTTCAGCATGACAGCCCTAATGCGCTCATTGAAGTCGTTATCCAGCTCTGGCAGTGATGATTTGCCGACCTTGACTTGTGTCCTATCAGGCACGCCAAAGACGTCTTCCAGGAGCTGCGGTACAGCATCGCGGCCAACCCACAGGAATTGAGTTTGGCCATCGGTGATAAGATATAGACCATATGGAACAAGGCGCTCGGAAGAGAGGTTGAGCGGAGCTGGGAGGACAATCTCGCTGGTCTCTGGATCTGGGATACCGACATTGTCGGGCATGTCGTGCAAAGAGTAAAGGCGTGGGTAGATGTACTGCATCATCAGCGGTAATGGCAGCGTGGAGAGCAGGCAAAGGGCGGCAGAACGAAGATCCGATGGAATTTGGGCCGACTTTCGTAGACCGAGATTCTTAATCAGTCCCAGGAAAAGAGTAGGGAGGCCACGGAGGTTAGCTGGGAATTGAACGCCGCCACCACCCATGTTTCCTCCAGCAAGCTCTTTCTTGAACGTTTGGAGGAGCTCAATGAGCTTCGACTGTAGGGATTCACGCGCAGACTCCAAGCCGTTGCTAAGGGCGCGTTCGACTGCCTTGTGACTGAAGTAAGTAGTGATCGCGCATTGATCAGCTGAGGCGTAGAGATCAGCCAGAATTGTTGTCGTAGGGAGAGACAGCGTCATGACCCTGATTCTGCGCTCCCCATTGCTGGTAGTATGGAGCACAGCAGCTTGCATACAGATAAAGTTCTTCGTGAGGGTTTCGTCAATAGCCACCTCAACGACATATGCCTGGTCACGAGGGAACGCTGGGAACGCGCACAGGTCTGAGCTGCGGTTGAAGAAGTTTCCGTAGAAGGTATTCATTCTCAGTCCAGTGGTCGCACGGACGCGCAGAACAGCCTCCAAACCTATCTCAGAAGAGAGGTAGTCGCTGAACTCCGAGGCAAATTTGATAGCATCTTCGCTTCTCACTGCGCTCCATCCTGGGTAGAAGTAGGTCTGTCCTCCTGTGTATCGGGGCAGGTTGCTCAGCGACGCCACATCCTGGTATTGTGAAGAAAAGAGGAACATGTCGATGGAAACCTGGTTCTTGGAACACTCGACAGCAAAGCTCTTGTAAAAGCTGTGTTGGGTCTGTAATAGGGCGCCTTCCTTGCTGGTTCCGAGAGCCTTTGGATCTTCACGCAAGTCGAGCTTTCCGTAGCCAACATTGGGCAGCGTGGCCGTCAGTACCACAAGCTTGCCACCAAGCGGCGAAATAAGCTTGTGGCCGGCGCGCAATGCCGATCCCATGCACGATGTGGTGATTACGTTGTTCTGGAACATGCTGGGTAATTTGGTGAGGAATGCCTCGATATTTGTCCTGCACTCCGACAGGGGTACCAGCAACTCTTGGGGGATTGGTAAAAACGGCTCATCCAAGTCGCTAACCACAAGCATATTTGTCTCTCCGTTCTCTTCAGTGTCCTTTGGAATTGCGAAGTAGTGCAAGCTCGAGTCCACAGCCATGAAGCCGAGGCGCGTCCTGCGGTCGGCGTTGGGTATCCTATTGAGGCTGTCGAGAATTGTGCGTGCGCTGGTAGCCAGAAGGCCATTGTTCACGGCGTTATAGCTTACGTCGAAGAGGAAGAGGTACACCAGAGGCTGTGGTGGCCTAACCATATATTCCTGGGGAGCCACAAATTCAACAACGGCGTGGTTCAGCTCAGCTCTCTGCCACCTGTCCACACTTTGCTGTGTTGCAGCATCCCAATCAAATCCCTGCGGGACATCGTTGGTCAGATTGCACATGTTACAGCGCCATCTGTGTCCGTGGTCGAGGAAAGTAACATAGGGGTTGATATACGTCCTACATCTTCGGCAACGAGAAATGATCTGATCTTGGATAACTGGAACTGGATCGTCCGCATCATGTAAGGAAGTGTATGGTTGAATGACAAGGGCAAATGGAAGCTTCGACTTTTTTAAGAGATTGTTGGTTGTTGGAACTGCATTGAGAGTAGAGCGCACGTATTTGTGGGGGCTGTTTGCGTCCGGTGACGGTGTGACGCTCGACTTTTCAGCAAATTAGCCAAATAACTTTTGTCAGTTAGGAATGCCCAGCTTACATTTGGTGGAAGGATAATTGGTGGCGGAGGCAGCTCAATTTCAGCAACATTAAAGGGCTGGTTTAAAAGATCGGTGGGATATAGCTGGTTCAGGTCAACCCTCGGTGCACCTCCAGCGCCTGGCGCGGCAGCTTGAGGCGCAATTCCCATCTGGCCCATTCCTTGCGTGATACCTCTAACATCACCACCAGAAGGGGCACCAGGTGCCGGGTACCCAGCTGGTTGTTGTGGTGCCTGGAATCCTCCAAGGCCGCCGAGGGCAGACTGGCCAAAGGTTGAGGGTTGAGGGGCGTCGGTGTATGGCTGGTTCCCAGTATAAGCTGGCTGCTCGGCAGCAGCAGGGTAACCACCATAAGCTGGGGCGCCAACTGGAGCAAAGTTTTCCGGGTTTGGCGGTTGCCCTCCTAGAGCTACGTTACCGCCCGCGCCAAAACTGTATGCTTGTGCGGCGTATCCTCTCTTCTTTTTCTTGCCGTGGCCGTCATGGTGCTCCTCGGCCGGAGGTGGTGCAGCGGCTCCGAAGCCAGGTTGTGGTTGCTGCTCTCCATATTGCTTCTGTTGCGGGTAACCTTGCGGTGGGTAACCTTCTTGAGGAGCCGACATAGCTGAGGTCGAGTTTTGCTTTATGTCACCGGTCTAGACGTGGGCGCAAATGTATTGAGGTCAAGCGGGCAAACTGGTGGATAATGAGACTCTGCAACCACTTTTGAATGAGAATATGCTGTGCAAAGGCCGCCCAGGGACTTTAACAAGCTGTAGCTTTGCAAGGTTCGGTTCGCTGTCACCTAGGAGCCTGGATTGATATGAGTGTACGTGGTATGAAGCTGTCCCGAGTAGCTCCCCCATTCCTGGCGCGGGACACTGTGTTCGTAGAAGCTTGGACGACGATGGAGATTAAGCGAGGCAGGCTCTAATCACGTGCCTATATCCGCTTATTGGCCAGTGCGTTGCCATGGGGCGCAGCCGCCCCAGCCTCGTCCCCCGCGCTACTACTTGCGTGTCCAGCCAGCCGCAATCACAAGCTTGCTTGATGTGTGCACTTCAGCTCTCAGCTCTAAGACTCTCGTTATAATTTTCTCTGATACCCAATTCCCTACCAATCGTTCACTTTTCTTTCCAGGTTCTCTTCTGTTCGAGCTTTCTGACGCCTCTACGACCTCCCAAACCTGAATTCATAGCGTCATCTCGCTCAACTCCAATAAACAAGCTTTCCATCATGGCGTGGGGAAGCGCGAAAGTTCTCAAATCCCCTGCCCCTCCCAAATCAGCCATTGCGTGAGCTCCTACATATCAGATGCCTTGATCGCCTTCTAACTGTCTCCCAGCAAGCTCCTCCCTCTCATTATCCTCTTTGGGGTCCTGGGAGGCCTGGCATTTGTCGGGTACCACATATACCTCTCGGTCATGCAGATCTCTGATGCCGCCTCGAAGAAGATGGAGAAGAAGAATGTTGTCTTCACAAAGGACGGCATGAAAGTGGGCGTGAAAGAGATCAGAAACGACGACTACGTTGACCAGACGCAGAGCGTCCTCGTTAAAGCGTGGAACCTGAGTACCTGGCCTGGCTACAAATCCAAGCTCTGGAATAAGGAGAAGGATGAGGGAAAGACGAACTAAGTCATTGGATATGACAACGAAGCTTCTAGTGTTATCCCTTAGATGCACGAAATATATCCCACGCGTTGGATAATGCACAGTGCCATCGAGGCAGCTGAGACGAACCGATCACGACCAGGATTGGCACGGCGTCCAACTGCAGTTTGGTCCCGTTGCACTTATGTTTACGTCTTGATGTGGCCGGTTAGATCTTGAAGTCGGAATGAGACATGAGAGCTACCCTTCGGTTCGCATCTGCACGTCGATCTCTACAAGTCAAGCAAGCGGTGGGGTTTACGCTGTTTTGTTTTATTAGGAATTCGGCAAAGTTATTGTGTCTCACCTTTTTCTTCTGAACTAGTGGACAAAGTCTGTTATATTGGCTTTATTGTAGACAGAATCAAATGTGCTAAATATCTCGCAAACGGCCACCTCCTTCAGCGCCTATCTCCTTCTCATGGCCACATCTACCGCCGTATAATCCTCGTTTTCTATCTTATTAGTCAAGTGAATTAACAAATATGTAGCTCTTTAATTGTTATTCAAGCAAAATATATATACCAACAACATAAATACGTAAACGTGGCGTTATGATACACCTTCCCTACTTTATGCAAAAAATACATAGGCAAGCCACCTGCGAGGGTGCACGGACGCTGCACACACTTCATACAGTAGAGTCGCCCAGGCTCCCGTCCTTTCTACCCACCCCCGAACGGCCAAAGAATAGCAATCCAATCCTCCCATCTATAATACGCCTTATAGCGCTCAGCCCCAACTCCGGTCCTACCCTTCTCCCAACCCGTCAACCAATTCAGCCCTTGTCCATCATACCCACCTGGAAATATCTCTTAAGAAGCTCCGCTAACATCTTATCCCCACCAGTCCCCTCTTCAACCAGCGCCTCTTTCTTCCGTTCGAGCTCGCGCTTCCGGCGCTCGCGCTCCCATTGATCCCACTGCTTCTGACTAGAGCTCTCGATAGCTGCGAGGAGGTGCTCGTCGGGTCGGGATTCCTGGCGTAAGAGGTATGCGAATTGGGGCGGTATTTGAGGTGCGTTGACCAGGTTGCCTGGGGCCGCGCTTGTGGGTACAGGGTAGGCGGACGAGTAGTTGGGTGGGAGGCTCGTAGGTGGGAGATTTGTAGGTGGGAGGTTTGTAGGTGGGAGATTCGTAGGTGGAGAGGACGTCGAGGAAGGGTTGTAAGCGGTGCCTTGGGATGTGGAGTAGCTAGTCGAAGATGGCACTGTGCTGGTTGAATGCGGCGGGGATACAGAGGCAGTAAATGGCGGGGTGAAGGCCTGGTTGGGAAGCTGATGTGTCAACAGCGCGGCTCTGCTCATCAAGTCGCGTTTAATTGTCATGGATGGGAGGCGTAATTGATACTGTGAGCCATTAGTACAATTAACATACTCATCTAACATAGTTTGAAATAAGTATGGGTGGGGTGAAACTCACGAGAGCTAATGTGCCAGCTTGGTTGATCCCCATGACATCTGCAATGTAGTGTAACCTGCCCTTCAACCATATCCTTTGGGCATCTGTTGCGAAGTCGCTGCAACTTGCGCTGAAAATTGGCCAGGTAGAAAGGTATGATCCCAATGCCCTTGGTGTGTTTTGGTTGTCACCGAAGGCAAAACAACTGTCGCCCGCTACAGCAAATCGCTGCAGTGGCCCTTTGTTTGCTTTCCAGCCCAAATGGTACGGAATGCCTGCGACTATATCGTTGACCGAGTCCGTTCCTAACCGTGCAGCCGCTGCATATTCTGGTGTCGTGCGATAATCCACGGAAGTGTTCAGCCATGCAGCGCAACGAACCACAGCGCCTGAGATAAACAGCCGTGTAACACGAAGAAGTGTCCACATACTTGCAATCCAAACATCCGGGAAGGTATCGATTCTTCCCGGGTACACCTCGCTGTCTAGAAGTTCATCAGATGAAATGCTCTTCACCCAGGCAACAGTTGTAAAACGTAGGGCGTTTGGTAGTTTGGCTATCCAATCTTGGATCTTGTGCTCCATCTTCCAGGAGCGCCTCATTGCATCTTGGACCTGGCTAACATTTTCAGGTGTACGTTCTGCGAGAGTCATGAACCCATTAATTTCATATCGCAACTCTGCCATTTGAAGGGCTAGCTGGTTTACAACCTCCCTTACGTCGCCATCTTTATCGTCATATCTCCACGGGTCGATGTCCCAGTCCGGCCTTTTGCCTGTCGACAGGCAATTGATGGACTAGAAGTGTTAGAACGCAATTGCATGGGGAAAATCGGCAAGCGTACCATAAGGTTCCTAACGGCAACAAAGAGTGCGCTCCCGACCCTCGTCCGAAGTTGCTTCTTCCCTCGGAGCTTGACTAGCATCACCGCCCCGTCTATGTGTGAGCCCCAGGCTGCCATAGCTACAGGTCGAGATAGAATAGTCTAAAGCAGGTCAGACACACGCTGTTAGTCAACGATAATGAGCTGCTTACCTCGTACATCCCCAACAACATCACAGATGCGAGGGTTTCATCCGTCTTTTGCGCCACTGGGTCCCGTAGTGCATCGTTTACATGTCGTATAGCTTTGCTATACTGCTCTTGTGCCTTCGTTAACAGGGCTTTCCCACTTGGACGGTTGCCAAATGCGGCCAGTGACGCTGCACTGAAGGCGAGTAATAAATGCTTGTCCGCTGGACTCGCATTGGCAAGCGGGATAATATAATCCGTGAGTCCTATTGAAGCGCCATTGTTTGACGTAGCAACAAAATTGGTAAAGAAATAATGTGATGCAACCTGCTCTACTGGAATAGAGAGGGTAGCAGGCACTTGTGCTGGTCTCGCACTGAGTACCAATGCAGAGTCGGGGTGGTTTGCGCCAGGGGGTGCCGCACTGGAGTTCCACTGTCGGTTCGATGGGGCTGCTGCTTGAGACGCAGCTTTCCTTGCCTTAGCAGTTGGCTTCTTCGCCCTTTTCTCAGTGGCCTGCGTTTCATTGCGAAAGACGAGATCAAAGTCATCTTTGTAGCCAGGGCACTCTCGCCTGGACTTGCGGCATTGTGTGCATGTGGGTTTTGTTTCGTCGCACTGTCAGACAAAAATTGTCAGTAAGTTTCATCAGTTCTCCCTTAGGAGACATATATCATATGCTGGATATCAAAGCAAATGGGGCGGTGACAGAGTCTTGCATACTTTTATACGTCTTGTCCGGCACATCTGACATCCCCTGGATGGCTTGCCACAATACACCATTTTGAAAGCGGCTTTGACAAGAAAGAAAGATTCTTGGGTGCCTCAACCCATCAAGGTCGGACAGGAATCCTGCAGGTACTCGCGGTGCTGGGCGAGATGCCTTCTCGGACGGCCTTCTTTACTTCGCATGTGCCACGTTCGCCATGCATGCAGCTTTTCAACCTGCAGAAGGAAGCGGAGAACCTGTCTCGCTAAGAGCTGTTAGGGCAATTGCTTTGCACTATACGTCTGCTTGACGTGAAGCCAATATCTCTAATGCAGGGCGTGAGAGGGCGGGGGCGGGTTAGCGAGAGTAGTTGCACGGTGAAGCGTGCCTTGGGGATCTTTTTCCATCATCAGCCGCCGGACTTTATGGAGTTTACTAAACACACCATGATCCACACATGGGGCTCCCAAAAGGAAGGAAGTCATGAAGGTGGAGCAGATATGGTCCACTTGTGATGTCAAGTGCCGGGTTGTACTTACCACTTAGTTGGGCTTCGTTTGGCCTGATAGTCGCCTTGAAGAGTGATTCTCATATATACATTCGGCGACGTCTCTTCAAAGATAGAGAGCGTGTTGGAGACAGAATAGCAGAAATAGCCAAATCTATCCGGATCGTGACCGATGGGATTTGTGGGTGGGGATTGGAAATCGACAGGAGATGTCACTTTGTTTTGTCGGTAAAGCCGTTTGGATGGGGGTGCGCTATGTCCGCGACGATCCTAGTGGGGAACGCCTGTGTCCTAACGCTGTACGGCAATGTATGCAGATTATAGAACCGTACTGTACGGAATCGCAGACCGAGTTTATCCCTTTATTTGATAGTATGAAATCTAGTGATTGAATAGCATTAATTATTATCAGGATCTGAAAATATCAAGGTCCAACCAGCCCCGCCCCCCACTTTGCCATATGGTTTTAGATAGGTAAGACAGTCTTGCATGGCTGGCAAACAAGGGTTTGAATCAAGGGTACGATCGGCGCCTACCCGATCTTACTCAGTACCCAACCCATTATTGCAGAATCTATATCTATAATATATCACAATTCTTACTCTCGTCATATGCTACCCCCCTGAATGATTGTAACGACCCGCTATTTTGAAGTTTGTGGAAACCCACTTATAGCGATCGGTTTAGGTAAAAAGGCGTAAATAAGATGAGATCACTGGCAGAGGCCTTTTGACAAAATAAGTGGATGGTGACAATCATTCAGGGGGGGATAGTATGGCAACATGGCAGATCAAACGGTCCGTGCCCATGGAATTTGTTGCAAGGTTACGTAGGAGAAAGTGGGATAAAACACCGAGGTCCCCAGTTCACAAATCAATGCAATGTGACAAAACGATAAACATGTCAGATATTCAAACCATGAAACGGGTTATGATCAACAATGTTTCGCATTGAAGTATATACCAGAAGTACCCTCAAGGATATTTCCATACGCAAAGCAGGCGATCATAAAAGCTTGTGGACACAATATTTCTCTCCTTGGCATCGCCATCGCCTCCTTCATCACCGTTCTTGTTGCCTCTCCAATCCTTTCTCTTCAGCGGCTGGACGTCGCACCCGTAATTCATACTCTTATGTTCTTCAAATCTGGCCAGCACTTCAATGGTCCATTCTCCCTCCTTCGAACCTCGGATTTCGAGGATTCTTGCGCCTGCATGCATGCACGATGCCAGCACTCTGAAACACCGCTCTCCATCCGCCACCTTTTCTGATTCCTTGTCCATGAACTTCAGCCTCCAGACGCCACCTCCCAGCTTCTTTTCTGCGAGCACTTTAAAATTTGAATTTTGGCCGTTGCGATAGTCGTAAGTAGCGAACACACGGACGGTGTCGTCGTAGCTTCCCGTCAGTAATATATCCTTTCCAGCTTCAGTTCCGAGAGGCAGAGGCAAGATTGCCGTGACTCCAGCTTCATGGCCTCGCATTCCACGGCTGCCACCGGGCGATGCGGCTGTGATCTCTGGGAGCGGATGGCTCAAGGAAGCTAGAGACGAAAAGGCGAGGCATCGTAGCTTGCTATCGTCGCCGCCCGAATACAGTGCCTGCGGCATTGTCTTTCCATCCGGCCGGGCTGGTGAGAAAGCAAGTGTCCAAGCTTCTAGATCATCATGCGGACTGAGCTCATCTCTGAGTACAGTGCATTGGGTGAAATCAGGCGAGAGAGAGAGTAGCGCCACTGTAGATGTATTCAACGTACAGCCAAGGAGTTGAGAATGTGACGGGTGCCATGCTAGAGATAAAACGAGAGTAGACTCAGGGAAGAGTTGGAAGGTTTGAAGAAGGGCAGGGTGAGGTCTTGGCGTCTGTTCAAGTTTGTATAGACTTATCGAGCCGGTGGAGGATGCAACAGCAATGATCTGAGGAAAAAAGGGCGAGAAATGAAGATCAAGAATTGCCGCTGGGTGGGTCACGGTATAGGTTAGGGATCTAAATCATGTTTTAGTATTTGATGGTAATAATCTGGGCCGTAAAAACGGTGCTTAATAGGAGAAATATGAGTAGTGACTGTGTGTGGAGGGGGAAGAAAATGCCAGTGTTTCCGGGCGGCAAGAAATTAACATACAATTCGTCATTTTCCAATCTATAAAGAATGAGACTGCCATTTCTCTCTTGGGCCTTTACTTCACTCTTGGAATTATCATCCTCATCGTTTTCTTGGTCATGTGGCATCTCCTCCGCGTCATCTTTTTCTAAGTTATATGTGCCAACAACAAAATATTCAGGCGACGCCTGCGAAAACTCTATGCAGCTTGGGGGGAGGTCTAGAGTGGTAGCGATAGCATGATTTTTCAAAGAGGCTTCGTCCATTTGGAATATCAAGTTGACAAAGAGTTACCGGGTCGTTGACGTATGGTTTTGCGAGTGGGTTGGGGTGTGAATAGGATGTAGAATAAAAGCGGGGGATTTTTGTGAAATTCTGGCGTGGGGCAATTAATTCGACTCGATCTACTCCGTACACCAGGTCCCTGGTCTCAAACCTTCTTTCGACCACAAAACTCTATCTCTGCCCGACATCAGTTTATTCTCATTCTTTGTAGAATTGATATAGCATACCTATTAAATATAGAGAGCATCCATAAGCTGCCAAGGAAGATTTATTTAAAGTTGCGGTTATCCTTGGCCAACTTATATAAGTTGCGTTGTTTTATTTCATTTAAATGTTCAACTTTATATTATCCTAGGAATTTATCACAAGTAAGATTGTTCATTATAAAAAAATAAGTACATAGTTTACACTCGTTATCATATAACAAGCAAGCGCGACGGCTCGACCGACGTGCTTCGCACCTACTTGTTATAGCTATGATATGGGACAGGGACGCTGCTACCTAATCCTCAATACAAGCCCGACATTACAACTTCACCGCTTACCTTTCTGTTAATGGAGCAGCAATAGCTGGGCGAAGGATTCGTATTCCATCTAGAAAAGAATTGGACGTCGAGTAGTATGCCGGCCTACTACTACGCGCAGATTTCTCCGGCGGCGGCACCCCCCCATCTATTCAATGGAAAGAGGTTTGCGCGTCAACACTGGGAGACTGTAGATCAATTTCTGCAACGCCTTCCACCAGCAACAACCGAAGGTTCTCGAGAATTGCAATGGATTTGGATCAGCAACCCCTATGTACCTCCCCGTCAATTTAACCTTGGCGGAATTCCAAGTGATGAATGGAGCGAGAATGTCTCCAAAATACCAACGCTGCGTATGCACGGAGAATACATGCTCAATGAACTTGAGATGACAAAGTTTGTCTTGGGGCAAAACCTTACTCAGCAATCAGCGGCGATGATATCCATTGAGAGGGACAAAACCGTTGTGGCTATACAAAATTTGGCCATTGCAATGAAAATAATTACTGGGAAGGTTAGTAGCCTCATTCCCATGCCCCACACTCCAACAATACTCAGGAAACAAAGGAGAGTTTATTTACAGAGTTTGGCTAACAACCAATAGTGGATGCTATTCCCGCCTGTAGATCGAGTGAACCACATTTGGTCGATTGTTGCCCATGCTGTAGCCACAGGTCAGCTGGGCCTTGGTGCAAAGGTGTCGCCGAAACTCGATCATCCGGAAACTGGAAGCAGACTTATCTGCATTTATACCGATGATTTCTCTAATATAGAGGATGTCATACGAGTTTTGCGCAAACTGAGAGAGCTCGGGCTCGTTCCACGAAACGAAAGGCCGCCGATATACTACAAGTGCGGTAAGCCATATCAATTGTCTCGTTGCGATGAATGCATCTGATTGAAATGAAATAGATGCCTACACATACCTCGAAATATTCTCTGGCAACAGATGGGATATTCGGCCGTCGCTATACAGCTCGAAAGAGATGTTGTAGGGAAACAACTGGGCAACACATACAGTTGTTCAGAATGGGAAAGGCTATACCTCGCGTAGACAGCGACGATGGCTCAAACACAATAGAGCTTTAGAACCAGAGATATTCGGGTATTCTCAATTTGACTATCTTGTTGGTTTGCTTCTGTTATGCCTGTGGTGTTATTACCATCATCCAAATGCCAATCTGCGTATCATTAATTGCCCGTTAGAACCTGAGAGATCCCCAAAGACATCTATAGATACAACACACACAGGCAGTTGAATGTGGTATATCCATTGATCAAATCCGAAAAACCTTGATAGTCTTCGCTTGTGTCATAACGCATTTCGTTAACCCCCTCTATTTCGACACCACCGAACCTCAACCTAGCTGTGACTTCAACTGCAAAACCAGTCTATACGCCGTGCTCCCGCTCAAATAGTACCTATGCAGCTTCTTGCTCCGCAGGAATCCGAGGCGCTCATACAACTTCATGGCGGCCGTGTTCGAGACCTCTGTCTCAAGAATAACCTCATCCGCATCACGTGCAATCATTGCATCGATGGCTTTCTGAACGAGCGTCGTGGCGATCCCCTGGCCGCGATATGACGAGGATACGGCGAGCATGGCGATGTAGCCGCGGAGAGTGGGTGGGGAGTGGGATTGGTGGATCTCGAGTTTGTTGACGACGACGCCTATGAGCGCTGAGGTCTTGGGATCAATTGCCTGGTTGAGTTGTTAGAATGTATATTTTTCTGCGAGAGGGTTTACCCACCATAAAACACAGGTCGCCCCAGTGATGGAGGAAGTAACGGTAGACATAGATGCTGTACGGCTCGCTGAGATCCTTGGATATCAACCCCCGAATGGCCGGTAGGTACTGCTTCTCCAGACTATGATCATACTGAATATACTGCAAGTCTGGAGGAAGCTCTGCTATCCTTTCACCCATTGCCATTTGCCTGGAGGTGAAGTTGCCTCCACCAATGTCGTTTGAAGAATAAAAATCACATGATTGTGCCTGGGCCTAAAACGCCAAGTCAAGGGACCACGGCAGAATATTCGGCGTATGACGTAGTAGTAAGGCGGTGAGCCGGAATGTTGATGTTTCTAGCAACATGTGCCCTCACTAGCAACGGCGCCGCCCGGCCAGTTGTTTTACGCTCGTTCTCGATCGTGGAAAAGCAGCCGCTCAGTTGTGAAACATGGCGTCTTCGGTCCGGAAGCGGGCGGCGAAGGATGGCGCTCGGTCAGGGACTTCTGCAGCGCCAGAAGGCGCGAAGGTCTCGCTATCAGCGGAAAACAGCGAGAACTCGGAGGAGTTGACGCTGGTGCCAAAGCCAGCCATTAAACATCTCACCAAACACAGCAAGCTGAAGGGCAGGAAGAGGAGGGGAGGCTTTGTCTTCTTCCTGGGTGGGATTTTTGGTATTCTGGTGGCGGGCTTCTTTGCGCAGAAGAATGATCTCTTCGAGCTGCCGGAGTTCGTGGATCTGATTTCGGACCTGAATATTAGTGGCTTGATGGAGGTGCTTCCGGCGGGCTTTCTCCAGGAAGCAAGGGAATTGAAGGTGGGTAGTTAAGGTGTGCTACGCGACTGTCTTACTGACAAGCTATAGGGCGGAGAGCGTGATGCTCTGAAATACGATGCCTTCTCTGTCGGTCTAAAACTGGCCGCAGAAGGCCTCAAAGCGACCCATCCCGTTGTTATGATACCGGGTGTTATATCATCAGGCCTCGAGTCTTGGGGAACGTCAAATGTGTCACGACCATACTTTCGGAAGCGACTATGGGGCAGTTGGACTATGATGCGCGCGCTGGTAGTTGACAAGGAGGAATGGAAGAGGCATATCATGCTGGACAAATACACCGGTCTTGACCCTCCTGGCGTCAAAGTCCGCGCAGCTCAAGGTTTCGATGCAACCGATTTCTTTATCACGGGCTACTGGATCTGGAGCAAGATTCTTGAGAATCTGGCATCGATCGGCTATGATCCAACAAACAGCTACACTGCATCCTACGACTGGCGCCTCTCCTATTCCAACCTCGAGGCTCGCGATCAATATTTCACGCGTCTAAAGCTACACATCGAGATGGCTCATCGCGTCCAAAATAAAAAGATTGTGCTCGTCAGTCATAGCATGGGCGGACAAGTCATGTTCTACTTCTTCCACTGGGTGGCCTCACCACTTGGCGGAAACGGCGGCGATAGCTGGGTAGATGATCACGTTGATTCCTGGATCAACGTGAGTGGGTGTATGCTGGGTGCTCTGAAGGGGCTCCCCGCCGTACTTTCCGGCGAGATGAAGGATACAGCCCAACTAAACGTCTTCGCCGTATACGGACTCGAGCGCTTCCTCAGCCGCGAAGAGCGCGTCGAGATCTTCCGCGCTATGCCGGGAATCTCATCCATGCTGCCCATGGGCGGAGAGGCCGTCTGGGGGAACTCGACGTGGGCTCCCGACGACCAACCCGGACAGGAGGTAAGCTTTGGACCATTTCTGAATTTCAAGGATAACAACATCACGCATCCGGCGCGCAACCTCACAGTCACGGAGAGCTTGGAGTTTTTAATGAACACGACAGAGCCGTGGTACCAGGATGCAGTTAAGGGGAGCTATTCGCACGGGGTGGCGCACTCGAAGGCAGAGGTCGATGCGAACGAGAAGGACCCGCGGAAGTGGGTGAACCCGCTCGAGACGCGGCTACCGCTCGCTCCGAACCTGAAGATCTTCTGCTTCTACGGTAACTATTCTAGCCCCGGCGTGTTGGATGTTGTTGGCTGACGCGGCGCGGCACGGCGTTGATTTGATGCATTGACTAACTGGCGCGCAACAGGCACTGGCAAACCGACCGAGCGATCATACTTCTACCATGATACTTCGGCTCACCCGGGCCTTAATGTTACGATTGACACGGCGATCAACGAGGGCAACATCGACCATGGGATTGTGCTGTCCGAGGGCGACGGGACCGTGAACCTCCTATCCATGGGCTACATGTGCAACAAGGGGTGGAAGATGAAGCGGTACAATCGCGCGGGGACGAAGATCGTAGTCCGCGAGATGGCGCACGAGCCGGACCGGTTCAGCCCGCGCGGTGGCCCGAAGACAGGCGACCACGTCGACATCCTAGGGCGCGCGAGCCTGAACGAGCTGATCCTGCGCATTGCGGCGGGGGAGGGCGACGACATCGAGGACGAGGTGACGAGCAAGATCTTGGAGTACTCGGATAACGTGAAGGTGTGGGACGATTAGGAATGTTGTTGGTGATGGGCGCGCAGGGGGAGGGTGGGAGGGTGGGTAGGATTGGGGGGGATGGGTAGGATTGGGGGGGTGGGATAGGTTGGGAGGTTGGAGGTTGGAGGCGCATTGGCACTGGGGGACATTGGCACTGGGGGAGGGCAGGTTCCTTACCTTACTGTATGTACGACATTATACCCGACACTCTGGATCCGTTATCGTGGAGGCGTTTTTGTACTCTCGGTATGGTATGGATGGAGCAGCACGAAAGGAGCCAACCGGCCATCTAGACGGCGCTCTGTGCCGCCATGCGCGATGCCCTTGTTGACCCCATCCAACACCCCCCGTGCTCGGTCTAATGGGCTCTATTGTATGTACTTGAAGGTACCGGTGGGACTACTGCGACCATCTCTGCGACCATCTCTGCGACCATCTCTGCGACCCCCCTTCGTTTACTCGGACTCTGGGTCAAGAATTGTTAACAGGGGACCCATGTACGTAGTTGCACCTCTCCGCTGTTTTGAAAAGTTGCGAGAAATAATAATCTATCCATGACATTACTCGGGGTTTTATTGGGCTACTCTACCACAGGGGTAGCGACGATCAATACCCGGAGCACTAACTAACTTAGCTACTCAGACTGACTCCTCCTTGTATGCGCCGAACTTCTCGAAGCAGCCCTATTTATCTGGTTTAGGTCGCAGCTTGTCCATCAAAGTATCACATAATTGTCCACAATTGTCTAGCTAGTCTAGAGTCTAGGGGGAGAGCAACAGGGGGCGCAGCTCTGCCTCAGCCTGCATCAAACAAAAACCACCTCCCCGACCAGTTAGCAAGTTGGACCAGTTGGGCCAGTTGGACCCGGTAGACCAGTTGGACCCGGTAGACCAGTTGGACCAGTTAGACCAGTTGGACCAGTTAGACCAGTTGGACCAGTTAGACCAGTTGGACCAGTTAGACCAAGAAGACCAGTTAGACCAAGAAGACCAGAAGACCACTTAGACAAGAAGACCAGAAGACCACTTAGACAAGAAGACCAGAAGACCACTTAGACCAAGAAGTCGCGGATCATCGACCTCTTCGAAACCATCATTCATCCCATCTTCGGCATCCCGTCTCAGCCCCCATATATTCCCGGACCCCTGCCGTTTGTCGTCGTGCTTTTCTCCCCTCGAAAAAAAGGCTTCATCTTCTTCATCCCCTCCATCCCCTCCATCCCCTCCATCCCCTCCATCCTCACCATCAAACTTGACTTGTTCGCGACGAGAGTTTCACTGGCTGTGCGCTATCGATAATACTGTAACTCGCAAAACCCATAGTTGTTGGCACGCCAGCCCCGCCCATTCAAACCCCGCACCAGCGTCCGGGAGCGTCCGCCATCACGAAAGACTTCGAAAATCAATCAACAAACTGGCCCCTACATCAACCGTCTTCGGTTGACATTTGAACCTAGTCTTTATTTGGCTGGGACTCTCTCGGGAATACAGCACAAAGGTACGAAGAAAGTCGAGGCCCGCTTTCGGGTTGAAACGCATTCCTATCCCTTGTTTCCCCCGTCCATGTCCCCCGTCCATGTCTCGTGTTGGGACTTCCTCTCGTTCTGACGGATAGACCTGAAGATGGAAGACATATACTGACTCGTTGCTATGAAATAGGAACGCAGAAATCAAGTCGAATCACATCACAGCCCTGCCATTATTACTACGGGCTTAATCTAAAGCTTCTATTATACCTGTTGTAACGTTGGCGAGCTCCAAAGCGTTGGCGCCCAACCGACGAATTGCCAGCAAAGCACCATCGGAGGGGCAGCTGTATTCTTCACAACTCTTCAGCTTTATCCTTCACAACTCTTCGGCGAAACTACAAACAAAGAAGCGCACAAGGCGATAATAGCATTTCGTTCGCCGCTGAAGCTGGGCCACCCTCTGTCGTAAGCTTCGTTGCAACTTGAGCAACTCGAACCACGGTATATACCAAGTAAATCGGCTTCAATCTCTCACGATGGCTACCCGCGCACCCAATCCCACGGGGTCGAGAAAGATTTCGTTTAATGTGAGCGAGCAGTACGATATTCAGGATGTTGTTGGAGAGGGCGCATACGGTGTTGTCTGGTATGTAATGCCCAGGTGCTGAGATGGAGATGAAGTTGTTAACATGAAGACCCCAGCTCGGCGCTTCACAAGCCATCCGGACAAAAGGTTGCGATCAAGAAGATTACCCCATTCGACCACTCCATGTTCTGCTTGAGAACCCTCCGTGAGATGAAGCTCTTACGATACTTCAACCACGAGAACATCATCTCCATATTAGACATCCAGAAGCCCCGAAGCTACGAGACATTTACCGAAGTCTACCTGATCCAGGAGCTCATGGAGACGGACATGCACCGCGTGATCCGCACCCAAGACCTTTCCGACGACCACTGCCAGTACTTCATCTACCAGACCCTGCGCGCCCTGAAAGCCATGCACTCCGCCAACGTCCTCCACCGCGATCTCAAGCCCTCCAACCTCCTCCTCAACGCAAACTGCGACTTGAAAGTCTGTGACTTTGGCCTGGCCCGCTCGGCAGCCTCGCAAGAAGATAACTCGGGATTCATGACGGAATACGTGGCTACGCGCTGGTACCGTGCGCCGGAGATTATGTTGACGTTCAAGGAGTACACGAAGGCTATTGATGTCTGGAGTGTGGGTTGCATTCTCGCTGAGATGCTGAGCGGGAAGCCTCTATTCCCAGGCAAGGACTGTAAGCTTCTCCACGTCCCCTTGCTACCCTCTTCCGTCACCGTTGCTAACGCAATTCCACAGACCACCACCAACTGACACTCATCCTCGATGTCCTCGGCACGCCAACCATGGAGGACTACTACGGAATCAAGTCCCGCCGCGCCCGCGAGTACATCCGCTCCCTCCCCTTCAAGAAGAAAGTCCCCTTCAAGTCCATGTTCCCCAAGACCTCCGACCTGGCCCTCGACCTCCTCGAGAAGCTCCTCGCCTTCAACCCCGTCAAGCGCATCACGGTGGAGGAGGCGCTCAAGCACCCATACCTCGAGCCCTATCACGACCCCGAGGACGAGCCGACCGCCGCCCCCATCCCGGAGGAGTTCTTCGACTTCGACAAGAACAAGGATAACCTGAGCAAGGAGCAGCTGAAGCAGTTGATCTTCGACGAGATCATGCGGTAGTTTGTGCGGGACTGGAGGAGGGATGGATGGATGGATGGGGGGGCTGGCGCCATGGGAAATCGGGATGGAGAACAAAGGGCCATGAAAGCTCGGGTTGGATATTGCTGGACGGCCGCCGCGCGCCCCCCCGTCCACTTCTCATTTTTTGGTATTCTTGCGGGGTTGGAGATGTGGTTAGGTTGTGATTAACGAGCGCCAAGGGGTTCATTTAGCATAGATCTATTTTTATTTTATGCTCAACGGAGTCCCCACCCTATCGGTCGTTTTTTCGAATCTATGGAAATGAGAGAAGAGGAGAGACCACCCGCCACGAAGGGGGCAAAAAAAGCTGGCTGATGTTTTGCTGGTCCTGCGCAAGCCATAGTATAGCAGGGCAGATGGTAGCGTTGGTTGGTAACGAAGACGAACATATGCGAGAATGGCAGCCTGTAGTATCTCTTTCCCCCATTGAATCACACATATCATCTCATGCCTCATATACGAGTAATATTGGCTTTGTGGTCCATCTATATATATCATTCCAACCCCACGATGAATTTTTTAATGGCCTCCCCCACCCCCTTCGGACTCGGCACCTCCGCACAAACATCCGCCTCAAACCCAAACTCCCTCCTCAAGTAATCCCTCGTCGTCGGCCCAATAGTAGCAACATACGTCTGTCTCCTCCCCCTCCTGATCCCGCACCCCCCTCCCCTCTCCCCCGTCTTCACCCTCCCCGTCTCCTCGTCCAGTAGTCCCAGTTCCCGTAACGCGGCTTCGCACCCGGTGGGGGAGAAGATCACCACCCATCGCGTTTCGGCACTAGAGGACGCGGAGAGCGCGGAGGCGAAGGCGGTGGGGAAACTGGATCGCGTGGTGGTGCCATAGACTTCTAGCTCGTCGACGCGGATTCGTTCGTTGGGAGGGAGGGAGTCGCCCATTAACGTCTTGGGGATGATGTCCCGCCTGTTGTCGCCGACGAGGAAGAGGAGGTGAGGGCGTGGATGAGGGGCGGTGGGGAGGTAGTGAGTGAGCATGTAGGCGGCGAGGGCTTCGCCGTTGCCGGTCTCGGAGCCGTGGATTTGGAGCGGCGGGGTGGAGGGGATGGAGCGCAGGGCGCGGGTGGTGGCGGGGCCGACGGTGTAGATGGGGGTTTGGGAGAGGGAGGGCCAGGTGGTGTCGGTGGAGGAGGGGGGGCCTGGGGGGGGAGGGGGTTAGCATGGTGGTAGTTGGGAGCTGGGGGATGAAGGGGGGGGTGGTGGGCGAACCTTCGGCGACTAGACTTGTGAATGCTTCAACGGCGCGCTGGGATGTGAAGATCATCCCTCCGTATGTTCCCTCATCGCCGGTATCGTTTATCCGCCGTGAGCGAAGCAATTGGCGCAAGGTATCCAGTCCTGGTTCTAAGAGCTTATGTTCGAGGACCGGGACGAATGTCGGGGTGAGGTCATGGCCTGCGATTTTGGTAGCGGAGAAGAATTCTTCATAGCCGTCGTGGGGTGTCGATTTGGTCTTTAAGAGGAATATGGGGATTGACGCCGCGTCGGCGGCTGTGGTGGTCATGGTTGAATGGACTCATTGTGGAAAGCCCGACGAGGTGATAGGGGAAGGGAGCGATGGAGGGGATAATCGGCGATAAGAAAATTGGGCGGCAGGTTCCGCCGTGCTTGTATTACAAACCTCTCTGATCAGGGCGTGTGAATGGCTTTCCTTCTCGTTCGTCCATTTACATGTAAATATATACCGCTTGCACACTTTCATTTGGGTTTTTTTTATTCATTCGTTGTTTGGTTTCTGATTAGCTTGTCAGTATACTAGAGGAGAGGATGGCAGAGCCAGCACAGAGCGCCAACGCGCCGACGAAGGATGCGCCTGTGAGGCCGCCTGCGACACCTGGCGCAGTGCGGAAAAAGTACCCTAAGGGTGTCGTGTTGGGGAAAGATGGGAAGCCGTAGGTACCCTTAAGGCCCTGTCTACCATACGCAGGCAGCAATTGGATGCTTGTGCTGTGCAAATAACTAACACTACCCAGTTGCCGTTCCTGTACCTCTTTCGCCGCCTGGTCCGCAATGGCCGCCTCCGAAACCTCCAACTCTCCAGCTGCCAAAGGCAAAACCACAAAAATACCCGCTGCCCTGCCTGACGATTGCCCTCCCGATGTCGAAGCCCTCGGACGCGCCTCCTGGATGCTCCTGCATAGCATCACCGCAGCGTATCCGGAGAAGCCTACACTCGCTGAGCAATCCAGCGCCATGTCCTTGGTGAAGTCGCTCGGGAAGCTATACCCGTGTACCTGGTGCGGCGAGGACTTTCAGAAGTATATGGAGCGCGAGAAGGTGCGGGTGGGGAGTAGGGATGAGTTTGGGAGGTGGATGTGCGAGGCGCATAATGATGTGAATGTGAAGCTAGGGAAGAAGACGTTTGATTGTGATAAGTGGGAGGAGAGGTGGAGGACGGGGTGGAAGAATGGGAGGTGTGGATAAATGGGAAGCCAGGAACGGGGTGCTGGTGGTTTATGATAATGATATATGGTTGTGTATGCATTGAGAATGGCGTTTAGGGAACTGGTAATAGCTGGTATGGCGCCCCCGTGGGGAATCCCTACTCACCTGTCTGGATATGGCTTTATAGTAACAATCCGAGAAATATCCCCCTTTCAATGCAGCGGTACAATATCACAGGTGGCCAATGTCGACGGTGACGCGATGATTGCGTGGGCTGTATGCAGTAGGTGAGACAATGGTTTCTGTGGCGCTGGATAGTAAGAATGATACATGCCCCTCGTTATAATTTCTTTTGGGAGCCATGATGATATATATCTAGATGAGTCTCTCAGTTCTCTAAATCATGGTAATGGCTCAGACACTGAGAATCTCTTCTTCAGCCTCAATGGCTAAGCTTTTTTGCTTATCCCAGACGGCACGAGGGCATCCCCATCCCCCCCATTATTTATTCCGCCCTGACAACAAACACCTTATCATCCCTGCCCCACTACTCATCCACCACAGCATCAGCGATCGTTGCCATCTCGGAACAATAATCCCATTCACTATTTAACTATTTATATATCGTATTTTGGCGCATTACACGACACTAGAGCGCCTGCGAACCAGCGCTTATTTGCCAGTTCCCCAGCCCAACCGTACCAATGTCAAGTCCACCACCAAGCACCCCTCTGTCCCGGTCGTCCACCATAGAAAACACCACCGACGACAATACCACTGCGACAACCTCATCGTCTGGTTATCTGCCATCGATTGGCAAATTCTTGCGACGACTCTCCTCTGGCCCGTCATACGGATCTACCCCAGCATCCCCTTCCCTCGAAAACTCACAGACTTTGTTCGAGGAGCCAGATCCCGACATGCATGGCTCCATATACACCCCGCCATTACGCACCGCCTCGCCCTTCCAACCGCCGCCCCTCTACCCGCTCTCATTATGCGGGTACTCCGAAAACACAGACGAGAGCGCGAGGCTGATGAGTAAGGCGATTGCTGAGGAGATACGGCTGCTGATACCACCGCGATTACAACTATGCGACGAATGGCACTTGGTGTACAGCCTCGAGCAAGACGGGGTTAGCCTGGGGACCATGTATAAGAACTGTGACGAGCTGATGGGGCTGCGGAACGGGTATGTCCTTGTGGTTAAGGACGGGGACGGCGGGGTAAGTTTTACCCCGCGATTGGTCTTCGAATGCCCTCGTGCTGGGCAAATTGCTAATTGACAGCAGCTCTTTGGAGCGTACCTGACGGAAGCACCTCACATATCACCACATTACTTTGGCACGGGGGAGTGCTTCCTTTGGCGTGCGTCCGTCTTCTCCCAGGCGGATCTGAGCCAACTCCCCCTCCCGCCCTCGGTGGATACGACGAACATGCAGCGAAATACCTCTCTCAACATCACATCACTGAGTCCTAGCCCTCACCCACGAAGCCCAAACACTCTGGCACCACCCACAGTGCCTCCTTCGCGCCCTACCTCGCCCTCACAGGTGCGCTTTAAGGCGTTCCCATACTCCGGTATTAACGACTACTTCATGCTTTGCGACGCGACATTTTTCAGCATCGGCGGGGGAGATGGTAATTATGGGCTATGGCTCGACGACAGTTTTGATCGCGGTATCAGCAGCACGTGTCTCACATTTGGCAATGAACCGCTGAGCGACCAAGGGAATAAATTTGATATACTTGGCGTGGAGCTCTGGGCAGTGGGGGGCCTGGGATAAGTACAAATAGGAAGAGGAGGAAACGAGGAAAGAAGCTGCGGGACAGAAAGGTAACTGTGTGGTTGGAAAATAATAAGGGCATAAGATACCCCGGGCTGAAAAGCATATTTGGCAATTAGGAGTTCGGCCTTGATGGCCTATACGCCACTCAAAATAAACTTTGGACAGAGATTTGTTGACTTCATGACAAAAGGGGGATTAATAATGAGAAACTTACATTCCTTGAGACTATTGATACCCAAACTAAGGGTACGTAGATAGTAGTAACTAATGGAATATACTTGGGGATATTATATGAGACTCTTGTGTTTACAGTGACCAAGACCCCATGGGTTGATTCCAGGCTCCATCAGCCAAGCTAGATTGATAGATAGAAGCTTGTTATTCGATGAACCCATGCAAGTGTCCGAAGCGAATATGTTAAGCTTCCATCAAGCTCGAAAACAACATATCAAGTACGTAACGAAGTTTTGCTGTATCGGTTCCATTTTACACAACATTATCGTTGAACTACACAGCTACTCCAACACCACCCCACCCCCTCATCAAGGACGAGCCAACCTAACTATTGAACAAAGCCCCCAACCCCTCCAACTCCGGCGTCCGCCTCCCCAGCCCCGACGGTGCCTCCTTCTGCTGCTCCGTCTGCATAAACTCCTGCTGCATCTTGCTCCGCTCCTTCCTCACCACCGCCGCGGTCTTCGAGATGCGCCCTTGCTCACTGATACTCACTCCCTTGAGATCGCGCAGGAGATCAAGGACTATGGCACGCTGCTGCCTCGGCTGCACTCCTGAGCGGTTGACGTAGTCGATACACTTATCAACTGCAGTTTCCTGTAGTCCAGGGAGGGACATCATGATCGCTTTCGGCGTGTTCGTCAAGTCGCAGTAGGAGACCAGTATCGCCGCAATCAGCTGCGCCAAATCCTTCTGTAACTCGACGAAGTAAGGCTCGTGTAGGGACGTGATAGAAGCCTGGAGGACCTCTGTGCTAATGAACTCTCGGATCGGAGCCGCTGTTGCAGGATCGGTATCGCGCTGGTTCCTGAATGCTGGGATGATGGAGCGGAAGACGCGCAGGACGACGCCGCAGCAGCGGGTGTCTCGCATGCGGATGGCATGGGTGGAGAAGAGGATTAGGGATTCGAGAATGGATGATTCGGTGAGGCAGAATCGTCGCATTGTTGGCCACTCCTTGGCGCCGCCTGGGCCTTCGCCTGGCATGTATGTGGATGCTTCCTTGTTAGTGGCGGGTTGAGAACTTTCGGTTTCTTTGAATATCGTTAGTGAATCATAGTTACCAAGAGAGGCGAAAGAAATACCATTTGCGCGTTGGGGGTCAAAGAGAGAGGCCACCAGCATCACCGCTGTGTAGGTAAGCTGCCGCAGTAAGCTCTCTTCCTTCATTTCTTCAGTCAAACCGACTTCGTCAGAAGTAGTTTGCTGCCTCTGGCCCAGCAACTCCCACTGAGAGCTTATCTTGCCATCCATTTGTCTGAAGCAGGTAGCCAATATCGGGGGCACAAAATGTGCTCGCAGCTGTATTGGACAGTCATCAACCATATATCGAACCAATGTCATCAAGTTAATAAGCTGGTGGGATGAAAGGAAGTGCGCATCCGCGAATAAGGCATTTGCCAACGGGCCAGGGAGTTCTTGAAATCCATAGAAGTGAACATTGAGGCGACTGAGACCATAAAGGATAGAGTAGCAAGCTTCTCTCACTGCTCGTACAGCCCCGCGGATAGAAGATGCGAATCCCTCCATCGTCGTTCTTGTACCGGAAACACGTGCGTAAAAGTCATCTTTACTTCCCCCCGAAATACCAGATTGCCAGAATCGATCAGTCAATATCCGAGATACAATCGGCTGCATCTCCTGAGGAAGGCCAGACCAGTTTGCCGGGTTATGGAATGCATGTGCATGGCCGAGAAATTTCAAGAGGCCGGGGAGCATAAGAGGAACCGAGTCATGCCAGAGGGAGCACGTTGTATTGTACGGTTCTGTGTCCTTTTCTATTTTGTCGGTTGAGCACCCCAAGAAGGATTTGGTAGGACGCAGAGGTAGAGTTTTAAGACGCTCAGTAAGCTCAGTTTGAATAGCGATGCCTTCGTCGTCGAGGGCAGAGGAGCCCCAGTCTTGGATTTTATGGACCTGTCGTGACACCAAATACTCTCGAACTTTCCCAAGGCCCAGAAGATCGCAAAAACCGTCGAAGGACGACAGAGACGTATCCAGAGCAGGATCTTGCCACATTTGCTTAACGGGGATAATGAAAGATTGTAAGCGCTCCAATCGTACTGCGGGATCGATCCCTTTTGCGCGGTGGATTATGATAAATAAGAAGGTTCTGTAGGAAATTTCCTGCCTGGATTCGATATTACCAGCAGCAATAATTTCACTGACTTTGGCTTCTAGCTGGTCATAAACTTCTAAGAGATGGTCTGGCATTTTCGTCGCTAATCTTGACAATTCGTGCATTGAATCGCTGGTCAATTCCTTGACTGCATCTGAATAGGCTCGATGTTTCGGGTGGTCAACGAGTCGTGTCATAAGTACGTGCTCAAGAACCTGGAGCATGAAGTTTGGCTTTTTGTCTAGTGCTGAAGTTGAGAATAAAACAGCGAGCTGTAGGGCCCGCATTCTAATGATCGGATCCTCAAAGCTCATGCCTAACAAGCGTTCACACCAGCCCTGGAAATCATCTTCCATCTTGGCTCGCTTTTGCTCGTCCTCTTGTGGATTCGAACCATGCGTATCTCTCCACTTCATGTAGCCCTTTAGTGCTGCTTCAACGACTGTGAATTGGGCATCGACACGAAGTATTGCTGGCGAATTTTTCGAATATGTCTCGATAGAAAATGGTGGGATTCCATCATATAAACGCTCGATTGAGTGCCAAACCTGGCTCAAAATATGGTATATTGCGTCAGAAGTCTTTCTCCGAACAATCAACTCGATGCATTGCACGTTGTAACGCCTATAATTTCCAAGGAAGGCATGCCGCTCCGGGATCGTGTCGATATCTTCCACGAGGAGCGCAAGTGAAGGGTCTTCGGAATCTGCTGGCAGGTTCTCATATCTGATAAGTCTTGAGCTGCAGAGCTCGAGTAGCGGAGCAATAAGGTGCGCTGTAGTAGGAGAATCGACGATAGTTTCAGAACGAAGTAAATGTGTCCAAGTAACGAGGACGGGTATCGCGACAACAAAGCTTTGATTTTGTACAATGGAAAAGAAAAGGTTTAGGAGATTTGGCAGATCACAATCCTCGGGGATCGATGATATTTTTTGGCCAATGAAGTTTCCCAGTTTAGACATCATCTACCAACTGTCAGTAAAGGTATTTAAAAGAGAATCAAGGTAAACATACTTCCGAGAATCTTTTCCCAAGGAGATATTTCTCGTCATCAATGTCATTGGGGTCGATTATTGACCATTCATAAACTTTACGGAGGAGATTAACTCGCTCAGTTGTATACATCGGGCTAACAAGAGAAAGAAACTCCTCGTCTGTGAAATGAGTACGACTGTATAATGCGTGTAATGCTTCAAGTGAGGCCTTGATCTGTTAGCTGAAGTTCTGTGACAGGAGAGCCAAAACGTACCTGTTGAACAGCAACGCTTGGTGAAGCCAAACTTCTGCTCATGTGAAACACGCATGAAGCAGCTGCAATGGCCTTCGGAATAGCCCATGGCATTATTGACTTGTAAACAGAGAGAATCTTGACTGCACAGCCGCGGTATTGCTCGTTGCTCTGCACGTCATTCTCAACGCACTGGTCTAGCAAGGCTCCAAGCCTGACAAGCCACCCTTCATCACCACAACGCACATTGGCCCCGACCTGTCGGTTTGGGAATGCCTCTTGGAGGACTTGTCCGGGCGTAAAGATCTCAACGCATGCCTTGCTTAGAACAGTCTCTCTCATAGCCGTGATGCCATCATCCCGATTGAAAACTTCTTCTGACAGGGTTTCTAGTACGAAGAGAACAAATTCCTTGTGTACGACTGAACCAGGGACGTTCCACAGGCTCACCAGGAGCGTATCCATATCCAACCATTGTGATCCCCAGCTCCTCTTTGCCACTTCCACCCATAGTTCCGCAGTTTTGTTCCGTATGAATAGAGGGTCTTTCGGCGAGACATTCTCGGATAGCTGCAGGACCCACCCCCTCATGGCCTCCTCCTCGAATGAGTTATATTCGCTCCATCGGTGCTTTATGGCGTGCTCGAGTAGGGATAGGGCGTAGTGGCTGACAACCGCTTCTTGGTTCTTGTCGCTGGCTAGGGTAAATCCATGGTACGGTGCTGCATTGTCCGCCTTAATACCTTCGAGGTATGCAGAAGCTTGTTTTCGAGATTCGTTTGAGGAGTACGGGCTGTGGACGACAGTGAGAGCTTCGTGGATTTGGGCTAGAGGGTTAGAGTCACTGCCATTTGCAAACCTCGTTTCTAACGCCGCTGGTGCTTGGTCGTGGCCGGCCGAGACACTCATCTTCGGAATAAGTCAACGAGTGTTAGGCCTCTAGGATAGACGTTTCGATGTCAAACAACATCGATTGCGGGGATGTGAGGCCTTGTGTTGGGGTGTCTATCTTATCGAAGGTAGTGAAACTGGATGCACGTCAAGACAAAGGTAAGTCGTAGCTTTAGGCGCGTCGTGAGATGAGCTTGGGCAAATCTGCACCAGAGACAATTTTTTTTGAAGAGCGCTGCTCCTATATGCCAAAGACAGAATTTATAAGAAATCTTCAAATATAGAATCGTACACGAAGTGAATGCTTATTTTGATAACCACCTTGGGAAGTTCACGGTTACCCACCAAGATAGAAGATCTCGGTCATACGATTATCCGGCATAGGGACCGAGTATGAAACCCTGCCATCAGTACACTTTGCTTATCCTCAAAGATTGTTAATATGTAAAAGATATGGTGGATATCGCGAGGAATATTACTCCTACTGATAATTCGTTTTAAATGACAGTAAAAACACCGCAGGTGCATATATGGCACCCAATACTGTGCATGGACTACTTCAGATAGCTATTCGCTGACGCCTATTCTCAATGGATACCCTCGATTGCCTCTTTGAGTATCTTCTTCCTGTCCTTGGTCCACACCTCATGCAGCGCATCGATCTTTCCTCCAAGGACAACCGTCGTTGCTGGATCAAGTAGTACCATGCCCCTTGCTACTGTAACTCCTTTCAGCAAAATCTTCGTACCAATGCTCATCCCCAGATCCACCTTTGGCACACCCACGATCTCCATGCCGTACACTCTCTGCCCCTTCCAATCCTCCAGCAGAAGCTTATGTGGTCCGCCTTTCAGCCCAACGAGTGACGCTCCAACACGAACTCCATTCTCCCCTTCCTCTCCTGGCACATCCCGTACGATCTCCCTCCCCTTAGTCTTTTCACCGCGCTCCATAGCTTCAATAAGTTCGATCTGCTCCCAGCGCGACTTCGACATATCTTCCACAGCCAATACCTGAACCAATACTGAGTGTGCAACCTTCCGTTCCTTGACTGCGGGTTCAGAAAGGCTAGGAGGGAGAGAAACCGCGGAGGGGTCGAAGAGAGAGGGTGAAGTGAGGTCGAGAAGCATCAGGCGGTGCTTCGCCGTTGCCGCAAGCACAGTCTGTGGTGGGTTGCTACCACGGACACCCGAAATGAGGGACGATAACCATTGTGAAGAGGGCCTGGGAAAGCCAGCCGCGAGGAGGCCATCGGTAACAGCTGGAAGGCTAGCAGCCATTGTATGGGTAGCTCTTGGGAGCCGCCGGCCAAACCTCGTATGGATTTAACGGTACAGTCGTATAGTCATTTCCCATCAAGGTGGTGAAATCTACAAGCAGGGATTCCCGAGACGCATATGCGCTGAGGGACCAAGTAGATGTTGCTCCTTCAGAAGTGGTTGATAACGAGTAAATGAAGGCCTCACAGCCTTGTTGGTAGCCTTGCGCTAAATATTCGAATGGTACCTTGCATGATGCCTACCTCCCAACTTCATCGTTGTCCCAACTCTAAATTCCAAACACCATCCCACCATCCACCATGTCGACTATTGCCTGCCCCCGCGAATCCTCTCTCCCCCGCCGTCAAATACCTCAGATTCATACCCCGACTGGCTCTTCGCGCGCCAGCATTGACAGTCCCTGGATCGGTAGCTCATCCCCCAATCGGGGCCCAGCACCACGGCGGAACCGCGCGGCCCTACGGGAATACTATAATATTAAATCTGCGGAGGCTGAATCAGGGAAAGGGGATATCGACGATGCTAGCAGTGAATACTCGATTAATGACCAGAGTGATGTCCAAGAGAGCGAGATGGACCAGGAGGGGTTTGATGGGGAGGTGTATGTGAAGAGGGTGCTGGAGACACAAAATTTACAGGAGCTGTTGAGGACATATAATGGTGTGCTGACAGGTTAGTGGTGATATGTTCCTGCCCCCGGAACAATGAGGAGTTGGCGGCTGTATGGATTGTCGAATGCTAACCCGTAGTTAATAGACATCAGAGCTTTGGACGCAGAGAAGAAGGCGCTTGTTTATGACAATTACTCGAAACTCATTGCCGCTACTGAGACTATAAGGAAGATGAGGGCTAATATGGATCCATTAAATCCGATGGCCTCGACGCTGGACCCCGCAATTGCACAGATATATGAGAGGGCGAATGCTGCCAAGGCTGATCTGAGGGCTTCAATGACTTTAACCCAGCATGCCGAGGCAGAGATGAGCGAAGAGGATAGGGAGAAGGCGGTGAAGAAGAGGAAGGCAAAAGATGCGGTTAGGAAGGTGCTTGATACCCCTGAGAGATTACGAACTTTGGTAGCGGATGGCAACGAAGAAGATGCGAGAAACGTGTGGGAGCCAGTCCTCAGAGTTCTAGAGAACTGGAAAGAACAAGGCAAAGGCGGAATGGATGTGCAGGATTGCATAGATGACGGCGAAGCGGCATTACGTGGGGAGCCCCCGAACGAGCGAAGTTGGGTCAATATAAAGGCAAAAAGATAACCTCTACAGCCACAACTCTGATGCCAACTTCAAAACTTATCAAATAGTTGCAGTCTATGTGAGCTGTTTTACATTTCGCCCTCATACCTACCAACCACTCGACCCTGCCACGATAATCTCATACGGATCTCTATCCACCTCGCTAACCGCCACCTCAAAGTCGGCGACGTCAAACCAAACCCGGTAACTGGGGACCTCCCCAGCTACCGGGTTTGCGCCATCCAGCCTCGTACTCGCGGCCTGGGCTTTCAATGCTTCGGCGATGTGCGTGTGAAGATCCTGCTTCATCCCTTGGCTCAAGAATCTCCTCTCCGAGTTACTATGAAACACCGTGACAACAACCTTACCCTGCTCGATTGCCCCCAGCGCTTCGTGGTGGCTCAGCTCCCCAGTGAACAGCAAGTCCACATCCTGCCCATTGAGCATTGAACCAGAGCCGGCACAAATCCCAACAGAGGAGATTTTAAGATCTGCCTTGGAACCCGTAGGGGTATCCTGTGGGACGGCTAGACAGATTCCTGATAGAGGCCCGAGGCCATTTGTGATCCGCTCCACTAGCGTGCCGAGTCGTTGAGGTTGCTCGAAGTGGACAATGCGGCCATAACCGGCGCTTTCGAAGCCTGGAACGGCATCTTTAACTGGGGTTATGACTTCCTTGGTATGTGCTGCGGCGTCGCTTTGGAAAGTTAGTTCTGGTACTGTGGTAGGCTTAGGAATGTTACCTTTGTCCTTCGCTGTTTGCCTTTCCTGTTACCACGTCTGCGAGCCAATCATTGAGGCCACCGGGCGCAGCATCAACCGCTGTATGCGGACAGTAGACACTGATACCCTCTTGAGTTAGACGGAGGAGTGACTGTTGCTGGGTGTTTGCAAGGGTGATAGCTTTCAGGCTTCGGAAAATGATTGGATCTAGTAATAGTGTTAGTAAACGTCTTGGTTGAATAGGAATATAAGCCCCACGATATGCAATGACTACTGAGTCCTTCCTCCTAATTGCTTCATCTGCGACTCCCTTCGTAAGGTCTACTGTTAAAAGCACCGAGTTCTTGAGGTGGTTCTTCCGATGTGGTGCCTCAAGGAGAACTGTCACGTGTTATTTTTGATTCAGAGACGCGATGATTCTTTGTTATGAGGCAATAAAGAGCACAAATAAGGTGTATAAAACTCACGTCCTGTGTTATCAAAACTGCTATCCGCCAGTTTCTCGGGATATCTCCAACGGCATTAGTCTCGTTGCTCACAACACATCGAATGGTGTGTTACACGTACAAGTTCCTCACAGCCGCCACAACTGCCTGCGTAAATGGCGATGATGAAGCACTAGACATTCCGGCAACTGTCCCAAATCTTCTGCTGAAGGTCGTCGAGTACATATCAGCAAAGTCTTGTGGAGCATCGAAGCTCCCTCATACTGCCCACAAATCAATAGGGGTGCCAAGCTCCCCGCCGCTTACAGTAGCTCCCGCCCGGTAAAATGACGATGGCTGATTACAAAACTGTTGATAACGCCGCGGAGAACAAGGTCGACAAATCCACGCCGACAGAGGATTTTCGCATTATATTCGCCATGGCTGAGGCGTCGGGCGTTACAGAGGCAGGGCTGAAGGCCGCACTCACCGAGAAGATTGGCGCGACACATGTGGAAATCGAAGATATGTCAGGTAAGCAGCCGACTCCCCACTTCTGTCTCCAGGCGAGTAGCATGGAGGGCAATGGTCGACAGAGCCAGCATAAGGACACAAGCTGACGGAATTAGGTGGATGTGGACAAGCCTTCTCTGCTATCATCGTCTCTCCAGAATTTGCGAAAAAGACGACGCTCGCCCGACACAGACTTGTGAACACGGCACTCAAGGCGGAGATCGCAGCAATCCATGCGTGGACACCGAAGTGCTATACACCGGAACAATGGCAAGAACAGGCCCCTGGCACTGTTCCACCAGGCAAGGCGACGACAGGAGAGGTTGTGATGGGAACCTCAGCTTAGGTGGATAGTCATGCAAGGGGTCATGGTTTGCATATGGGAGGGTAGAAGACAGCTATGGAATGGCAGCTACTGGAGCACGAAGGTGATAGGCAGGACTTCGTGATTGATGACTGGTGCTGTGGGAAGCCTCCGCCCACTTGAGACTGGCCATACGGGTTGGTGAACATAGAAAGAGGTACATATACCTCATCAGAATACACAATTCCGGGTGTTATCGTCGCTGGCTTAAGCTATTCTTCTCACATGTGGTACGGCACATATCTATTCTCCCAGAACTAGAGTAATATTGTGTTTCTTGCCTTACAATCTGGTGATATATCCTCGATCGCCTCCATATGCCTACATTAATCAGGGTAAACTCGTATGTTATCAACGGGCACTCCACACACTCAATTTTAAGCTTAATGTCTGGCATGCACAGTAATTCTATATACATACTGTATACCACACGTTAAGCCTTCTATGAAAGCAGCTTTCAAAAAGTCGTATGATTTTCACGCGACTACCCCGCAACCCAAAAAGTTTATTTTTGAACCCCGCTGAGACAATGGTCTTGGCGCAGGACCCTGAACCCCTCCATCATAAGCGCCGCCTTTCAGCTAGCTTCTTGTGAGGCGTTCCTACGTAAAGTTGCACTTGAATAGAATTAGTTTGGCTGCTCTGATATAAGACTTGATAGGCAATGTCACAACTCCATCTCGGGTAGCAGTACAAATCCTATGAATCACACCATACAATGATTTACAGTGAGGGGTAGCTTGCAATCTGGAAGTGCGAGTTCCCGTTCGGATCAAGCAAGGTCCGAATAAGTCATCACGCCTTATATGGCCCATGCCTATCATGCCGTATCATATCGTGCAGAATCTGTTCCCTGTGCTTGGTTTGATAGGATTGGGTAGGCATGAACACCTCCAATGCACCATGAGGCCTATCTTGGTAAATTCTGTCACCAACTTCGCCTCAAACAAGGCTCCCGGAGTATGGTGCCATGGCTATCTAAAGGTGACAATTGGCCTACCATGGTGCCATTCGCTCGTTCAGTCGTTTGCCGGTTTGGAATGTCTAGATTGGGGATGATCGACAGTATGGCTTCATCTTTCCCAGGTGCGAGGACGGAAGCTTCTGTGTGGCTAGCTATCATATTATAAAAGGCATCCCACGGAGATAATGCAGATAATATGATAATAAGGAACCCCATATAATATCAAGAAGACATCAAAAATTTGGAACCATCCATATCGTTACTCAAACTAAAGAATCTCATATATACCCCAAAGTAGCAAAGCATTTGATCCCTGTCCCCCCAGAAACCATGTCGGAGATCCAGAAGAACCTCGTCGACAAGAACACCGAATATGCCGCTGCATTTACCAAGGGTCATCTTGCCCTGCCGCCTGCGAAGAAGTACGTTGTCCTGACCTGTACGTTTCCCATCAACCCCTACGTTTCTCATCTGACTGTCCCAAGGCATGGATGCCCGAATCGACCCTGCCGCTGCCTATGGTAGCGCCTCGGCGACGCCCACGTAGTTCGAAAGCGCTAATGCTAAAGATGCGTTACGCTCGATCGTTATCTCGCAGCAGCTTCTCGGCACAAACGAGATCATCCTCGTTAAGCATACCGACTATGGCATGCTTACTTTCGACGACGATATAGCGACAGGCCTCGTGGAGAAGAATCTCAGTGCGGAAGCCAAGGAGGCTTTGAGTGCTTTTGGAAACGACTTCAAGACATTCCCACAGCTTGAGGATGCTGTCAGGGATGATGTGAAGTTGTTGAAGGAGACGCCGTTGATAAATGACGAGGTGCCTATTACTGGATGGGTGTATGAGGTTGAGACCGGAAAGGTTAGACAGGTTGTCTAGGTGGCCCGTAAAGTTGCACCATTCGAGCATGGCTGTACGAAACTTGGGGTGGCTTTCGAGGATGAGATTGTGGGACTATTACAGGCGTAGCTAGCGTATATACCCGATTTGCCATTGGTGCCCTGGCGACTGAGTCTCTGCTGGTCAACAACCCATCTGGTACCGATGCTTCTTCTTTGCGGCCTAATCTTCAAAACGCAGCATCCAGCCGCGCACTACTATCCAACGTGAGAACGTGAAGTTAAATCGACAGAGCCAACATAGATATTCTCTGCAATACTCGTACCAGAGCCCACCAGATTACAGCCAGTGCCCGGTTCTCATAGGCTTGAGTAATAGTATCTGACATGCTCATGTGACACCATTAGACACTCATCATGGAGCTGTGATTTTCCCGCCCCTGATGCGTTGAGCAGCAAGACTGAAGACAGTGACTGAAGATAGGAACAGCACAAGGTTGTAGAACTGTGATATATCAGCCTCAACTCTGAATAGGGGGGTTGACGCGAAAACTCACAGCTGTCCTCGAGTAGGTACTTTCTTCTGCATCAGTGCGAGCCTCCACAAAGAGGCGGCGTAGGTTTGGGAAATTAGACTGTATTGTATTAAAACCTGGATCAAGATATGTTTTGCTTTGCAACTTACCATTTTAGACGGGCGATTTACTTGCAAATATGTTCTCTGGTTGGGTGTTGTGATGCATGACAATATAGACAACCATGGGTGCCAAGCCTCCGCTCCGCTCCGCCACTAGCGCTGCGACGCATCGAGAAGGCTGAAAAGTAACTCACGCATGCTATATCAGGTAACAGGTGTATAGATTCGACAATTGCCTCCTTCTTCCACATTGCCAACCTCTGTCGTCGCACCCAGAGTTGCTCATATCTTTATACTCGTAGCCCTCGCGGTCAACTTCTACTGCAAACAGGCTTAAAACGTATGAGGGGTGGACCCTCGACTCGCCATCCACCGCACCGATGGCGGTAAATAAGATACGTGGGGCCTTCGCGGCGCCCAAGAAGGGAGAGACATTCGAACTTAGGGCCGGTCTGGTGTCGCAGTACGCCTGGGAACGAAAAGAGTCTATTCAAAAGACGATTATGTCTATGACACTTGGAAAGGATGTGTCCGCTTTATTCCCAGATGTGTTGAAGAATATCGCAACGCCCGACCTGGACCAGAAGAAGCTTGTCTACCTGTATTTAATGTAGGCCTGGCGTGATCTTTGATTCTCTTTGAATGCCGTTTGACACTTTATTATAGGAATTACGCAAAGTCGCATCCGGATCTATGCATTCTCGCTGTCAATACCTTTGTTCAAGATTCGGAGGACCCGAACCCCCTGGTGCGAGCTCTTGCCATACGGACGATGGGATGTATTCGTGTCGATAAGATGGTGGATTATATGGAGGAACCGCTACGAAAGACTCTCCGGGATGAGTCCCCATACGTGCGGAAAACAGCTGCGATATGTGTTGCCAAGTTGTTCGACCTCAATCCAACTATGTGCATCGAGAACGGCTTCCTGGAGAGGCTACAGGAGTTGATTGGCGATCCCAACCCTATGGTCGTGGCCAACTCTGTGACCGCGTTAGTTGAGATAAACGAGGCGGCGCCCGAGACAAAGGCACTGAGGATTACTTCTGTCACATTGAAGAAGATGATCATGGCCCTCACGGAATGCACTGAATGGGGTCGGGTTACAATCTTGACGACTCTTGCCGACTACAAAGCAGCCGATGTTAAGGAATCGGAGCATATATGCGAAAGGGTATCGCCACAATTCCAGCATGTCAACCCCAGTGTTGTCCTTGCTGCAGTAAAGGTGGTCTTCCTCCACATGAGGAACCTTACACAAGAGCAGCAAGTACAATATCAAAGGAAGATGGCCCCTCCGTTAGGTATGAAATTCTACCTTACGCTTGTTGGGGAAGTGCTTTGCTAATTTGGATAGTCACACTCGTCGCCTCCGCCCCTGAAGTTCAGTATGTCGCATTGAGGAACATAGACCTCCTCCTCCAGGCAAAGCCCGATATTTTAAGCAAGGAACTCCGCGTTTTCTTCTGCAAATACAATGACCCCCCATATGTCAAACTACAGAAACTTGAAATTATGGTACGAATAGCTAACGACAAGAACGTCGATCAACTTTTGGCGGAGCTGAAGGAATATGGAGCTGAGGTGGATATGGACTTTGTCAGACGCGCGGTTAAGGCGATTGGACAGGTTGCCATTAAAATCGAGAGTGCCAGTGAGAAGTGCGTGAATACGCTATTGGATCTTATCGCTACCAAGGTTAATTACGTCGTCCAAGAAGCTATTGTTGTCATCAAGGATATCTTCAGGAAATACCCAGGGTATGAGGGCATTATTCCGACACTATGCAAATACATCGACGAGTTGGACGAGCCTGAAGCCCGTGGCGCTCTTATATGGATTGTTGGAGAGTATGCGGAAAAGATCAGCAATGCAGATGAGATCCTATCTGGCTTCGTTGAAGGCTTCATGGACGAGAATACCCAGGTCAGTTGTTCATTTGTACAAGGTAAGACCACACTAGCTAACGTTGAGTTACCAGACACAACTCCAAATCCTCACAGCCGTCGTTAAGCTCTTCCTCAAGAAGCCGGACAACAATCAAATACTTGTGCAGCAAGTTCTGCAGCAAGCTACTGCCGAGAACGACAACCCCGATATCCGCGACCGCGCCTACGTCTACTGGCGTCTCCTTTCCGGCGACCTCGACGCTGCCAAATCCGTTATCCTCTCCGATAAGCCCGCAATCACCACAACGATGACCTCACTGCCGCCTTCGCTCCTCGAGTCGCTCCTAACCGAGCTATCTACTCTCGCGTCCGTATACCACAAGCCCCCGGAGACCTTCGTTGGCCAAGGTCGCTTCGGTGCCGACGCCATCCAACACGCTGCAATCCAGGAGCAGATGCAGAATGCGCGCGAGAACCCGATCGCCGCCTCCGTCGCAACTAGCGCCGGGACAACCCAGAACAACGCGGAGAACCTCCTGGACATCGACTTCGATGGCGCGGCACCAGCATCGTCGGAGGCACCTCCACTGGGAGGTGCTTCGGGTCTAGAGGGTCTGGCTGGCACGCCGCAGCGGGTTGCAAGCCCAGACTCCGGTGCGCCACAGACAAGCAGTATGAATGACATGATGGGCTTGTTTGACGCACCAGCGCCATATCAACCAGGTGGTAACGACTTGATGAATGGGTTTGCGGGGATGGATCTTGGCGGAGCGTCCCAGCCACCGCAACCGCAAACGCAGTTGCAGGGCCAGAATGGAAAAAAGACGAATGATGATCTGTTGGGCATGTTCTAATCTAACCCGGCGCACATTCAGGGTAGGTATTAAGGCGAAGCAATAGTCCAGTATCGTAGAAATGAAATAAAAAAGTGATTTGAAATCAATGCTACCATTCGTCTCAATTTCTATTTTCATGACCATACATAAATCTCGTTATAGTGTCTAGTCTATCTTGATACCCAATCATGGCTCTACCAAGGCAGCCAGTGTATCCCACCCTTCTCTCCTCCACGGAGCAAACATAACCCCACGCTGCGCATCCCCTACCTTCCCTGTACCCGCAAACGCTCTTCCCAGTTCCGTTGTCTCCACAAGACCATGCGGCGGCGCGGACTTAACAGCAGTCCGCAGAGCCATCTCGCTCGCGTACGGATCTCCACTAAAATCAGCCATTCTGGTCCATCCGGGGGGCTGGTTCGGGAACAGAAACACGTCCGTCTGAACCTCTCTCAACACCGCAGCCTCTGCATTCTCCTCTTCCAGAGCAGCGGAAGCCCGCAAAAGTTCCCCTACGGCTCCTTGCTGTTCATCCGTGATGTTGGAGCTTGTGCGTAGAGTGTGGAGGTCCTCGATTACGGCGGCGACAGACCCGGTGTCCTCGTTTAATAGAGAGATGGTGCCGAGAAGCAGCAAGCTCTGCACGTGGCCTGGGTTGGCATCGATGGAGTCGAAGAGGCTATCCGTTGCCTTGTCGCAGGAGACTTTGGAGCCAGTCGCCCATAGTACTTGGGCCAGAAGACATATAGTGTCTGGATTCCCTGCTGCTTCGGCCAGAGCTGCCTCGATATAGGAGACTGCCTCAGTCGGATTGTCGGTATGATAGTACGCAAGCCCGACTGTGAGATGGGCCGAAAGTCTACACTTTTGGCGCTGATCAGGTGTGAGCTCGTTTCCGGCGTCTTCTTCGCTGAGCTGGAGGGATGTCTCGCCGCTGTCGATCGCCGACGTGTAGTCACCCGCTGTGAGCTGTGCGCGGGCAAGGTCTGCTCGAGCAAGTGCAAAGCGGGTGAGAGACGCTGGGGACTCAGTCACTTCGTAATCAGCTTCGATATTAGTTGAAATAGTTTCCAGGTTGGAAAGAGCTGCCATGGTATTTTTGACTCGCTCGAGAAACAAGCTTGCGAGATGTTGGTAGGGGATTTCAGTTGGAGAGAGGCTCTGGAGCTGGGCTAGAGCGAAGATCGGCTGGACAAGGTCTTCGATACTGGCTTGAGCAGAAGCGCCTAGGAGACTGTCAAAGGTTGAGAGGGCATATTGGCGGTTGGTAAGAGTAGACGATGAATCGGATATTTCTATCGCATGGGTGAACAGAAGGCGTGCCTCCTTGGGGTCACCAAATAGGAGAGCAACGAGCCCTTGTCCAACCCATGCGTGGCCGAACTCAGGGTCTGTTGATTGCGCTCTAGTGAAGGCCTCATTTGCAACTTGGTGGTCATTCTGCAGCAAGGCCAAGGTGCCTAGGTTTGTCCAGGCTTGGGCGCTTCTCTCATTCAAGAACAAGCTCCTCACAAAGGAATGCTGAGCGACCCTAGGCGATAGCTCACTTGTGACAACGCCCAAAGAGTTCCAGAAATCTGCGTTGCTAGCCTCAAGTTCGATGGCTCGTTTGAAGCATCTGATTGCCGCTTTCAGGTACCTCGTAGATTTCTTAGCTTTCGGACGAAGACAAACGTGTGCTCGGTATTCCGACCAGCCCAGGTTGTAATATGCAACAGCCTGGGCATGAACTTCGCTTGCGGAAGCTTGTATAGCTCGCTTATGGCAAAGCAAAGCGCCTTGCAGGCACTGTGTAAGGTTAACTGCTGCCTGCTCGTCATCAGGGAACAAGCCATCGGCCAAGACGACATCCTTTCCCACACCGTCGATGTCTTCAAACAACGTAGAGCTCTCCCCGGCGTCTTCGGCCTGGAAGATTTCTTTGATCACAAGGTGAGGAAAGTCCGGTAGACGGCCTTGTACCCAGGAAAATATAGAACAGGCATCACCAAGGGACTTCCAAATATTGAAAGCATCATACCCCCGACTAATGAGCGCTTGTGCCAAATTAATTGCGTCTGTGGCCAGCTTAGCGGATCTCCCAAACAATCCCTTGTCGATACAATCCCAAGCATTTTCCACGTAGGTTTGGATCAAAGCCATTTCGATTCCTAATTCTTCTGGTTTCAGATCAAGAACTTCTGTATACCGCTGTATAGCATCATCGTAAGAACCCAGCTCCCTTTTAACATTTGCCAGCATGTACTTAGCAAACCAGGTGTCGCCAGTATTTTGCTGCTCGACTTCCTGTTCAAAGGTTTCAGCATGAGTAAACGCCTTTGTTGCTGCGATGTATCGTCCCGAGTTGTGATAGCTCTCTCCCAGGCCAACCCAGGAGTGGTAATCCTTAGGTGAGATCCGTAGCGCCGCTTGGAACGACGCAACACTTCTAGCGTAGTCTTGCTTATTGAGTTCCGCAACACCCAGTGCAGCAAATGGCCAACTGATTCCAGGCTTCTTGGATCCAGGAGCTGGCTTTACTTTTCCTGAATCGACGACTCTTTGTGATACTACTTCGACAAGCTCCCAGTCACCTTGCTCTGCAAAAGCTTTAGCCAGGCGTTCAGCGGCAACCACTTCGGCAGATGATAATTCGAAGGCTTTCTGGAAACACTTCCGTGCTCGCTTCTTATCCTTTGCGTAGTCGGCAAAAAATATTCCAAGGCTCGTATATGCTGGCGCGAAGTTCATGTTCGATTTAAGAGCAGCCAGAAAATACGAATATGCCCCAGACCTATCCTTCCGCGCTGCCTTGGATGTGTCCAAATTCCATATGCATATTCCAATGCGGTATTGGGTCTCTGCGCGTAATTCGCGGCTTCGTAAATCCGAACCATCCATTTTTTCCACACCAGACTCCAGCCCATCGCGTCCAGTTTCGTAATCTCCATTCAAGGCTTTCACCCATGCTGCCTCTGCTCGGATTCTAATATTAGTTGGGTCTCTCTGGAGCGCACGCTCGAAGAAATCGATCGCAGAAGGAAAGTCTTCGTCTTCCTCATAGATGAGGCCTACTCCAATCAATGTCGGTGTTGATGTTGGGTTCTGTCTCAATAAGTCCTCAAAAATTGTCTTTGCTTCTGGGTGGTTCTTGGGTGACTGGTAGTAGACTAATGCAGTACCCAACAGAGCCCTGAGATATTGTGTCGAGTTGGTAAACGGCAGGCCAGACTTAGTAGTTTCTGAAGTAATGAGTTTCAGGCCAGCACGCATGAGCTCCACCACACTCTCATGTTCATCTAAGAATGCATAGTACTCTCCCATTACACGGTGAGCAAGAATTGAGCCAGAAGCTCCAGACATGCCCTCTGTCATGAGCAGTAGCCGATATTCAATTGGGGCACTCGGATCTAGAGGAGCGCCCCCTTCATCATCATCCTCGCTATCGTCAGAGTCTTTGTCCAATTCGTCCTTCTGCGCGGGTGGAGCTGGAAACGGCGATATTTCGCTCGTCATATATCCGCTCAGGACCTTTGCGAGTCCACTGCCAGGGAAAAACGAGCAATATTCGCGAAGAATTCCAGCATCCCACTCAACTAAGGTCGGATAATCCGGCCACTCTACACTTATATCCCATGCTAGCTTGAAAGGGTGCTTGATGATAACCATATCACCAGCTAGCTTCTGAACCTTAGCTCGCTTTAACTCTTTAGAGCCCACTGGCGCAACGAGTAGCCCATCGTAACAGCGTTGCAAGAGCTTTTCTTCATATTGCCGCCTGATATCGTCGTCATTTGACCAATCGACAATTTTGCTGTAAATATCCTCGAGGGGGCTTTCACTGAATATCTCACGTCGGACTTCAAGAGTGACCTGGTTTATCTTGGCACCTAGTCGAGTCCTCCGTTCACCTATTTCCTTGTTCATACGCTCCTTTTCATCGGCTTCGGTAATTTGGGCGATTGTTTGGTACGTATATGAAGGATGGGGGATCCTTCCCTCAAGGTAATCATACACGGGACTAGTGGGCAGGAGTACCTCCAGTGATTTAAGATGCTGTTTTCGAGTGCCTTGATTCTTTGCAAAGGCTGTAAAGGCATCGATGACAGCTTGACACTTGTACCGGTGGTCCAATTCGACATATATTGTAGCCAATCTTATGGCGGCATTTTGGTACGCGTCAACCTTTGCACTACTTTGATTCTCATATAGCTTTATAAGACCTTGCCATGCTTGGGGGTCTTCTGGCCTTGATTTCGTCGCTCGGTCATATGCCTGCTCTGCTTCCGCAACCTTGTGGAGTTTGTCGAATGCGAAGCCCAAGAACAGGTTCCTGTTTGATGTCAGATATGGTACAAACCCACAGCCACTGGGGCCGAATGAAAGATATGCTGCTCAACAGCAAAAATTTGTATTTCCAGACAGTCACGGCAAATAACAAGAACAAGGCGGTGACGAACCCTTGGTAGTGTTGAGGGTCGTTAGCTAGGAGCTTTTGTGCTTGGGAAACAGCGTCATCGTAATTGCGCGCCTGGATCGCTGAACCGATGGATTTCAGCGCGGCCTTGTTCGTTGACATTGTCAAAAATTTCACCTTCGGGACATGTCCGACGTTCAAATCGTACTGTTGTGTATCCAATACTGCGTCAATATTTGTTGCTCTGGCGAGTGGGGGGTATTATGAGCTTCATTCATATCTCACAGCCTCGTCCCGCATTACCGCCGGAATATCTCTTCCCCGGATTTCTGACCCATGGCTCAGTCATAAGGTTGCTGGTTATACGAGCCACCAATCAGACGCGCGTCTCAGCCTACCGCCAGGGTCACTCCTTGGCTTTTGCTTCCATCATGACTGTGCACAGCATTGACGACTACAGCTTACGCCTGTCCTGATATTCGAAGTATTTATATAACACACAAAGATTCTACGCTCCCTGGGGTCATAGATTCGACTCCTTATCGCCTTAACGGAGAGAACGATCCAATCCTGACCATTCTTGGGTACATTAATGACATCCTGCGGCCCACGAACGATTTGAGTAGAGAAACCTGCCCAATTTACACCTCGGCCTTCTGATGCTGTCGAGAAGTTCCCTGAATATCTATCTATAACGAAAAGGCGCATCGGATATTCGGAAACTGTCGCCACTCGAATACTAGTTGCGGCTTCACGCATCCACTCACGACATGTCGCAACTACGACTTACGGTCGAGAATGGTGAATTTCGGGACTCCCACGGCAGACAAATAACTATACGCGGAATCAACCTTGCTGGCGATGCAAAATATCCAAGCAAACCCGAGCAACCATCCCATATATCAGCGGACTTTTTCGACGGGGACAATGTCGAATTTCATGAACGCCCATTCCCGCTCGAAGACGCACACATCCACTTCTCCCGCTTGAAACGCTGGGGTTACAATACTATTAGATATGTCTTTACCTGGGAGGCAATAGAACACGCGGGGCCCGGCATATACGACGAAGAGTGGATTCAGCACACCATCTCAGTGTTACGAGCAGCAAGGGAATATGGATTCTACATCTTTATGGACCCCCACCAGGACGTCTGGTCTCGCTTTTCTGGGGGCTCTGGAGCGCCTATGTGGACGTTATACGCTGCCGGCTTAAACCCAGAGGCTTTTGTTGCCACAGAAGCTGCCCTGGTTCACTGCATGTATCCAGAACCAGAGAAATTCCCAAAGATGATTTGGTCAACCAACTATACAAGGTTGGCCTGCCAAGTCATGTTTACCCTCTTCTTCGGCGGGAAGGACTTTGCACCCAAATGTATTATTGACGGCATCAATATTCAAGACTACCTACAGAATCATTTCTGTGGTGCACTGGGCCACCTGGCACAGAAGATCCATGAGGCCGGCGACCTAGAAAATGATATTGTCATAGGATGGGAAAGTATGAATGAGCCTAGTAGAGGGCTGATTGGATTTAATGACCTCTCCGCCATACCAAGTGAGCAGAAGCTTCAGAAGGGTACATCGCCTACCGCATGGCAAGCGATCCAGTTGGGATCTGGAAGGGCATGTGAGATTGATTTGTGGGATATCGGTGGAATGGGGCCATATAAATCCGGGCGAGCATTAGTTGATCCAGAAGGGGAATCCGCGTGGCTTGATGCCGACTATGATGATTCTAGGTACGGTTGGAAGCGGGAACCTGGATGGAAACTAGGGGAATGTATTTGGGCACAGCACGGCGTTTGGGATCCAAAACTCGACGTCCTACTCAAGAAGGACTATTTCAAGACGAATCCTCGAACTGGAGAGGTTCTTGGAAATTATGAGAGCTTTACCAATACCTATTTTATGGATTATTACAGAAAGAATAGGGACACCATACGAGCAATCCACGGGGATTCCATTTTGTTCTGCCAGCCACCAACTCTTGAAATCCCACCAACTATCAAGGGAACTGTGGATGACGACCCAAAAATGGTTTACGCTCCTCATTACTATGATGGTATCACGTTGATGACGAAGAAATGGAATCGCTTCTGGAACGTTGATGTTTTGGGAATTCTCCGCGGCCGGTACCTTAGCCCAGCCTTTGCAATCAAAGTTGGCGAGACAGCAATCCGCAACTGTTTCAGGGATCAAATGTCAGCCATGAAGAAGGAGGGTTTAGATAATATGGGCAATCACCCATGTGTCATGACCGAATTCGGCATCCCTTACGATATGGATGATAAGTATGCGTATAAAACAGGTGACTACTCGAGCCAGTCGGGTGCATTGGATGCGAATCACTACGCTATAGAGGGAAGTATGATGGCTGGCTATACCCTATGGGTATACATGTGCAATGTGAGCCCTCTTTGGATTTTTGCGCCTAACAATTCACTGACACCTCCTAGAACACACATGCCCTCGGCGACCAATGGAACGGCGAAGATTTCTCCATCTTCTCCCTGGATGACCGTCTCCTCCCTCAATCCGCCCTCCCCGTCTCCGCCTCCAATACCTCCATTGCTAACGCATCCTCTGCTACCCTCGGCGACTCATATATCAACTCCCGGAACCTAAAAGACAACTTAAAGACACCATCAATTTCCTCCGTTCCCTCAAACGCCCCTGAACTCACTGCTGCGCCCGGCTACCGCGCCGCAGAAGCCTACGTCCGACCCTCCCCCATCGCCACAGCCGGAAAGCTTCTTCAGTCGGGCTTCGACCTGCGGAACTACACCTTCACTATGCGCCTTTCTGCCGACAGTGCGACGGCAGACGATAAGCCAACCGAAGTTCTCCTGCCCGAATTCCACTTCCCGAGCGATAAGTGCGTGGTCGAGGTGAGCGGAGGAAAGTGGAGTATCTGCCATTTCGACGAGGATGGTGGGATGACGCAGAAGCTGAAGTGGTGGCACAATGAGGGTGTGCAGTGGCTGAAGGTCGTTGGCGTGCGGAATATTATACAGGGCGCGGGACCGAGCGGTGGCGAGGAGGAGATGGGCTATTTTTCCCAGTGCCAGCAGGCTGTTTATGGGTCTAAGTGTTCTGTGATGTGATCGGGGTATTGACCAGAAGGATAGGTCTGGCACACGAAATGTATATATGAGTTTAGTGTGCAGATGGATAGAGTACTGTTGGCCCCTGTCTGCCTTGTTTTGGAGCCGCTACACTATAGAATGTAAGTGGCTCCCATAACGAAATTAACGAACATTCGCTCTTTACGTAGCTTAGTCGTCACTATAGCATTTAGTAGCCAGTAATTCACATATTTCACGTAGCCTTACTAGTTGCCTAATCGTACGAGTTGCCCACCCTATTTTACACCCAAAATCATGAATTCTGTAACTAAATATCTGAACAACTCTAGTAGTAAACTATAAAAATGTATATTTAGCCTTTTATAGGATCTAAAGTGTCTTATTTGAATTTTAAAGCAATTAGGCTTAACGTGCATGTATAACGAAAGTGCCAAACAAGCGAAAGTGCCAAAATATCGCGACTACCCCATAAGAATTGCGATAAATCCACCACAACAATATAAATTAATTAAAACTACTCGGAGTCCTCTTCCTCAGACCTGTCTATTACAATCTGACAAGTGCGCGCATTGTGTCCAGTCTCACCACACTTGCCACAGCGACGTGCATGGGTTTCTTCCCTTGGCTTCCGACCACTACTTGCCCTTATTTCTTGCTCTACTTGCTGCACAACGTCCCTCTCGTCCTGTAGCTCCTGTGCTACCTGTTGACTAAGTGATCCTCCTTTCTGTAGTCGTGTTTTTTTAGCTCTCCGGCGCTTGCTTAGCACTTCATTTGCCTGTCGCAGGTTTTGGTTCTCTGCTTTTAACAATGCTAATTGATGCATTATTTGCGATGCACCCTTTGTAAACTGGTCAACAGCTGCATAGATTGAGGTTGGAGAGCTATTTTGATGATGCGCAATTCGGTTTTTAATGAAAGTAGACTGTGATACAGCCTCAGTTGGGTTATTTGGTGTCTGAGAAACCCATGGTTGAGCGGTGTTTGGGCGAGAGGTTGGAGGTGTTGGCGTCTTAAACCTAAGGTCAAGTGTAGATATTACACTCTCAGGGCTAAATGGAAGAAGCCCAGCACCTCGGAACCCTCCCTGAATATTGCTTTCTGTCATTGCAATGTTAAATGCAGCGTGGAAGGCAGGAAAGAAGTCATCCTTAGTAATGTGAATAATATGAGCCCGCATCATATCTTCAATTTGCCGACCGTAAGCTCTCTTTAATAGGCCAAAACAGCCAACATCAAGTGGTTGGAGTATATGGGAAGAGTGAGCAGGCATACAAAGCGTAATAATGTTGTGTTCTTTGCAGTACTCCTCAAACTTGTCTGAGTGGTGGCTCTCATGACCATCAAGGACTAACAAGCGATAACCACCAACACTCTGGGGCTTTGTGTGCTTCTCAAAATGCTGAATCCAATCCATACCTCTCTTGTTTGTAGTCCAGCCATTTGCAGTAACAGCGATTACCCAATCTGCTGGAAATCCGCTATTCTCATACCAAGATGCAAGGTGGTTTTTACCTGCCACAATGACAAATGGCGGCACTGCCCAACCTTGAGAACTAACGCCTTGGATTACTGTAACCCATTCCCGATTGCCAGGCTGCACCTTTTTTGCCTTTGCCCGCCCATCTGAGCTCGTTACTACCGTTGCGCTTGAGATGACGCCCATCATAAACCCAGTCTCATCAAAGTTGTAGATATCTGCATTGTTGATGCCATACTTTAGAATTGTGTTCCATACAAGCTCAAACCAGCCACGAATGACTTCTGGATCTTTGCACTTAGCCCTCTGGTAGTCGTATTTTCGCTGGAAGCGTGTCCGGAGCTCTACATGGCGCTTAACAAAGTTTGAAGCCCAACGTGACCCGACGTGTGGCGCGTCGCGTGTTGCAAGTAGTCGATTTGCCATATCTTCAACAATAGACAACTGAGGAGGGAACCCTTTAGCAGCTAAGTCAAGTATATACTGAACAAGAACTGATTCCTCTAGGTTACTTAATTTCTGTAAGTTGGCTTGGATATCGCGTCGTGAAGGTACGCCTTGTAAACGGTGACGTAGCTTGCGGTGGTCTACGGAATAGATCCTAGCTGCAACTCGAAGGCGCAAATTTGGGTCGCTTTGCATAGCTTGGATAGCTAGCACTAATTTGCTTTCATCATTTTTATGGCGCATGTTTTGTTGTGGAGGAATTTAACATTTAGTTGGGGGGGTTGGTCACCGCATGATTTTGGCACTTTCGCTTGTTTGGCACTTTCATTATACATGCACGTTATAGTCATTAAGATATTAAGACTTAGGTCTAATCGTAGTGACCAAACTTTTCGCTTCGCTCAAAGGTTGGATTAAGCGATCCGCGCGCACGAGAAATGGGAGGAAGCGAAATGCGCGCTTTCGCAATTTATAGGATGTAGGTACCACTACATAGTAATTTATATGTAAAGGTACTTAATCATTGTAATAAATTATTACTTGGCTACCACTCCCACTCCCACGCTCGCTCCCGCTCTCACTCTCACTCCCGCTCTCACTCTCAGCAGCTTCTGGGTCTAGAATTGGGTCCTCATCCTCGGGAGGAATTAGGTTGCCAGCTCGAAGAAGAGCTTTTACCCTCTTTTTCCGGAGGCGCTCTGCCTTCCGGGCCTCAATTCCAGCTCTGTTGAGCTGTCTCCGGGCCTGGTCTATAGCCTAGCAGGCTACCTGGCCTTCTTTGGCTGCGAGCTTCTGGGCTTGAAGCTCAGCTTTCTGGGCCCGAAGCTCGTGAGCCTCAGTAGCCTAAAGCTCACCTCCAAACTGAAGCCGGGCCCGGCTTCGGCTTGCCCGCTTCCTCGACTCCACAACCTGCTTCCAAGTAGCCCGTAACGTAAGTCGTGGTGTAACGCAACTGATAACCGAGGACTACCAACTTATAACTTGAATAACTCCACAATGGTGCATAGGAAAAGCATAGCGACGGCGGATTTAGAGTCTGGTATTATTCAGGCGATAACTGGTGTTCAAAGTGGTGAATATAAAAGCTTGTATAAGGCTGCCCAGGACTTGGGGTTGAGGCAGAGCACATTGACGCAACGCGTCAATGGGGGGTTATCTCGCTGTCAAGCCCGCCAACAACAGCAGAAACTCTCATACGCTCAGGAAAACGTACTTCTCAAGTGGATCATAGACTTAACAATCAGTGGGTACTCTCCTGGGCATCGCTTATTAAAAGAAATAGCAGAGGAACTGCGTAAAAAACGAACATATGATTTGGACAATGCGACACCTGACGGGCTTGAACTCCAACCACATGATATGCTTGGTAAGGACTGGGTTCCCTGATTCATTATACGACACCCACATCTTAAAGTTGCTATTGGACATCGAATTGAGTCTGTACGAATGGACGGGGCAACAAAACCAGTGCTTGACGTGTGGTTTGACACGTATCAGAAAGTGCGGAATCGACCAAAAAGACATATATAACATGGACGAGTCTGGGTTTTCGATTGGGACAATGGAGTCAACGTGTATAATACTCGATTCATCACTTCGTACAAAGCACCAGGCTCATCCTGGCCATCAAGAATGGGTTTCTATGGTGGATTGTATTTGCGCAGATGGAACAATTCTACCACCGCTCGGGATATTCAAAGGGTCGAACGTCTTACAGAACTGGATACCGAATAGCATACGTAATGAATGGTTCTTTTCTGCAAATACAAAGGGTCGAGTAACGTTCACAGTTTAGAGTGGTTGAGGCGTGTTTTTGAACCGATAACCCGAGCAAAAGCAGGCAGACAACACCGACTTCTTATTTGTGATGGCCACGATTCACATATAAGCGGTAGCTTTATAGCACACTGTCTTCCAAATCGAATTGCGCTTCTTATCCTACCGCCTCATACATCACACTTGCTGCAGCCGCTTGATGTTGCGATTTTTGGCCCTCTCAAAAAACGGCTGACAGCGGCACTATCGCACTTGAACCAAGCACAACTCGTACGAATACAGAAGTACGAGTGGATGGAAGCATATATTCGAGCACGATAAGATGTATGCAATCGTCAGAACATTGAATCTGCCTGGCGCGGTGCTGGTTTAATCCCATTCAACCCATAAAGAGCACTTCGTATGATGGCCCGCGATGCAACACCTGAGCAAGAAAGACCAAGAAAACCAACCCAGTTTGATATTTTTAATCAAGTCTTTGTAAATAGCTCGCCACCTGATCCAGCGATACTGCGAGATGCGAATAAGCTACTTAATTCAACAATTAAGGACCATACGACTGTTGCAACACCAGTCCGCAGATATATCCAAAAACTGACAACCGGGACTGAGCAAATTCATGCGCAAAGTATCGTCCACCAACATGATGCCAACAACTTACGGTCTATCATAAAGAAGCGTGCGGCCCATACGAAGGGAAAGAGGGTGGTTTTAAAGGGCCATTTCCATATCTCTACGCAAGAATTATGCGATGCAGTGGTGGAGGCTGAGAATGCTACAAAAAGTCAAGGTAGGAAAACACGAAAGGGAAAGGGAAAGGCAGTTGTGTACATTTCTGATAGTGATTGCGATGATGAAGAAGTGCTTCACAAGGATTCTAAGAGCGATACTGGGTCATGTATTACTGTTGATGTTTAGCTATTTAATTTTCTACGTTGTTCTCCTCTGATATCCGTTGCGTTACGACACCCGTTGCGTTACGCCACGACTTACGTTAGGTCAAGCTCTTGGATTTGGCCAGCTACTACGACCTCTTCCGTTCCGGTAAGCCAATTTCGGTAGCTCTCTTTTGAGGGGCTACTAAAGCCCTCTGGAACCCGGTTTTTCCAGTGCTGTAGCCCCTCCTCTACCTCCCGAAAAGTTGAGGGTTTAGGGGTAGAAACCCGGATTGGTAGGGTAGTAGGCATAGGCGTAGGCTGTGAGTAGGTGCGTAGTTTTGTGAGGGCTGTATTACAGCTTATAGGCCAAATACCAGCTTTCCGGAAAGCTGATATTATAGTAGACTCCTTAAAAGTCTGCTCCCGAATGCGTGTGAGATCTCTCATGAAGGATTGTAGGTCGTAGGTAACGTAAGCATAGCCTGTCGATGGTAGTGTATATGGCTGGAAAATCCCCATGTCTAATGGCTGTAGAACGTGTGTAAGATGTAAGGGAAAGGTGTATATATAATAATGTTATATTCTTTTGCCATAATGGCGAAATCATGGCTTGTATGGCTTACATGAGAGTCGAGTAATAGAACCTTCAGCCCCTCATATGGAGCTGTATTTCTATAAAATGCTATAGCCACTGGAGTGCAAGCTGGCTATTTGAAAATCCCGTGTCGGAGAGTAGTAATAGCTCCATGCCTTCGAGGTTGGTATGGTACCATGAATCCATATGAATTTTGCCTAGAATGACAAGTACTAGTGGTATGACTTTTCCTACTGCAGACACAGCCTCTAGGATAGTAATAGACGTACGGTTTTTAAGGCTTAGAGTATAGAGCTCCTTTGCTGTTTGTGGTACCATAACCTTCTCACCTCCTAGAATTCTAACTCTAAATCCTGTTTCATCCATATTACAAATTGACTCTGGCTTTATATGGCCATATTACAAATTGACTCTGGCTTTATATGGCATTCTAGTACAAACTCAATGTACTCTTAAAACCATTGTGTAATAGTAGGCTCATCTTGAGCTTTCGTACACTGTAGTGCAATAGGTTTTGTAGTAATAAAGTGGTATTCTTGACATTCTGTATATATTTTGTGAGCTAGCTCTGTGATGGTGGAGCCTATAGGCTAAGCTTGCAGACTATAGTAAATATCATATTTTTAGTAGCTCCTGTTACGATGGTCACAGAGGTTAAGAAGCCAGTCTAGAGAATAATAAGCTAGATTGAATCTAAAGAGATAAGAAGAAGAAAGAAAGGAAGTAAGGCTATCCCTCATTATATACAGCTGTACGCTTAGTGGTTCCCTGTAATCTTAGTGGCTACTATAGGTACTTGTTGCCCTAATCGCAGCAGCCATAAGTAGCGATCGTAACACTACCAGCTCGAGTAGCTTCAGCTAATATCATAACACTACCCCCCTCCCATTTGAGATTGATCTTCTGATCAAGAGTGGAACATTTTAAAAATTCAGTTACTTTGGTTTTTTAGGGTATTTCTAATGGAATGCTTACGTGATCTCTAGTGCATGTTCGAAATTTGTAGTTAGATACCATGTGTTGTTAGGCGGGTGGTTCTTCCATGCTGCTATGTAAAATAACTTTTTTCGTAAGTGCTTTGAATCTAGAATTTTCTCCACTTCCCTGTCATACTGACATTCGTTACACTCAGTTTGCTATAAAACTCAAGAGCAAACTTAAAAATCTCCTTCTCGAACCTACAAGTCACTATACATATTTTGGCTTGTCACACCAACAACAAGAGCAATACTACTCAACAATTGCTACAACCCTCTATGATTCATTACACGTCATTGCTCCTTAGTTACTGGGCCGATATGACCACATAGCATATCTCTACAACCCTCTATGATTCATTACATGACATCACTCCTTAGTTACTGGGCTAATACTACACATGACATATCTCTATCAACTAGAGGCCTAGGAACATGAACGATAGCTCCAAAAGCTTCTACAACCCTCTATGATTCATTACACGTCATCGCTCCTTAGTTACCCACAAGATTGGTTAAGTTATGACATAATTTGTCTATAGGGGTACTCTGACCTTGGACCTCCTTTCACTTCCTATAGGCTAGGAACCTAGGAGATGGTTCTATGGGATTCTCTTACGTCGACTACAGTTACCAAGCCTGGTTAGTCATGGAAAGTCTTGGAAAATGAGAGAACTACACTCCTTTAGCATAAATAGGATTGCCCTATCCTTAAGAAAGGGCAAGCAGACAATACAGTAAATCAACTATCACATACTTCCACATCTTTTCCAAGCTTCCAAGCATTGATCTTATTACTCCTTGTTTCTGAAAAGTCACTGAGGTGCTAACCTCTGACTTATCCCTGAGTTCTCAGACTCAACATTTGTTACAACTTGTCTAAACCACTCCACTACATCATACACCTGATTGCTGCATTGTGGAATAGTCTAAGCTACGACCCTTTGGCTCTGTTTCCTAAGACAGTGTGTTGTCTTAGTAAAATCATCCCTTCCTTGGGTGGCTAGATTCTCACATCTGGTGCACCCACCATTACATTCCCATTCGAGTTCATCATCCACAATGACTAGAGGTGATGGTTCCTAGTGTTGGCCACTTAATACATTATTTGAATCAAGTCTTAAGAGGTTGATGTGAAAGACATCTGTGAAAGACAGGATGTATCTTCATGCTTGGTGGTAGCTCTAATCGATATGCCACTTGCCTAATTCGTTCGAGAATCTTATACGGACCAACTTGCTTGTGATCTAGTTTCTTCAATGGCCTCTAAGTCCTGATATTTTATGTATATAGCCATACTTGATCTCCAAGATATCTTAGCACAGCTTTCCTGCGTTGATTTGCGAATGTCTCATTTCAAGTTTGCGAGAGTGCGATTTGGTCTTGTAGAAACCCCCAAATATCCAAGTATAAATATACCTAAATTTATACTTATCTGCGGGCTGTACCTGTCTGCCTAGTAGGCAGGCAGGTACAGCCCGCAGATATCGCTAATCTAGACCTCACTTCTTTACTTCTGACCTTGCGTGATTGTGGCCTGTCGCGAGTTTCCCGTTCCGTTATGCTCCGCCCAAGCCCATCGGCCAAGACCTGCGAGTACCCTGATGGGACTATATATAAACGTAGCAAGGTTGCAAAGAGAAGCCTTGTCTCAGCTTCATGTTACTCGCTGTTCCTTTTGACTACATTCTTGAGCTTGAAGACGTACGTGTTCAACTGCGAATCTGCCAGAGTCGCTTCCATCCATGCTGGAATAGGTTATCAGGGTACTTAAAGCACAATTGTTCCTATTGATACCAACCCAACTGCAATCAACTGCAATGGGTGTTAAATAGTATGGATCATCGAAATGTTAACTGAGCTGGAAGTTTGTTAAGATTGATGGTGGTGGCGGTGCAGGCAGCAACAAGGTCAAGGACAGGGGTTCAGTCCCCATGCGGCCCGCAGCAAAGGGGTCGGTTCGTCCCGTCAGCTCAGCCTACTCCCGATCCTCTTAACTACTCACATCGGATACCTCATCTACCGATATTCCTCTGGTCGATCAGGTCGACGCAACCTTCCCCCAGGTCCAAAGCCGCTTCCGATCGTAGGAAATGTTCTCAAGACTTTCCCCCAGCAGATGTTCCGGAATTCCAGCATTGGCTAAAGCATAAGGATCTGTACGGTCCAGTCAGCTCCGTAACTGTCCTTGGTATGACGCTCGTTGTCATCCATGATAAAAAGGTAACCCATGATCTGCTTGAGCAAAATTCAATCAAAACGTCAGGACGACCTACAATGGTTTTCGCAAATCAACTCTGTGGCTATGAGACCGTCATGGTCTGCAAAGGATATAACAGCACCTTTCGGCATCACCGCAAGCTGCTGCACCAGGAACTAGGCACCAAGGCGTCAGCAGCACAGTTCCGTGATTCCCAACAGATTGAAGTAAGCCGGCAGCTTGTCGGGCGCTTAACGAGCCTGGAAAATTTCCAGAGCACTTCAAGACGTAAGTTCAGGCGATTTCTGGCCGTTTGCATACTCGAAATATGAGTGTAATAAAATTGGCTGTTGTACAGCACCGCTGCTGCCACCATCTTAAAAATGACCTAGGGCTACACCATTGAGCCGCATAAACCTAACGTTTTGGTTGACTTGATCGATAAAATGATGACTGAATTCTCGCTCGCCGCTGTTCCTATGGCATGGTCAGTTGTTCTCATTCCTATTCCTCGGCATATCCCTGAGAATTTTCCGGGTGTTAGTTGGCAGCTTCCATGGCATGAAATGCGCTTTGTGGGTATCTCTAGACACTCCCGAACGCCACCCGCACAATCCCAGTCCAGTATAGTCTATGCGCAGTATTCTAAACCACCCAATGCATCACCCCCTTGCCCTCAAGTGAACTCCAAGCATAGTACATCTGGTCCTCACTCATCATCCCCAAAGCTCAGCTTCACCTTCTTGACCTTCTTTTTCTTCTGTGGCGGCGCCTGTTTATCTTTCCCGGGGGCATCACTGACTTTCCCTTCTTCCTCCTCTGGCGCCCCTACAACCTTCCCAACCTTTCGTTTCCTCGCTGCCCCAATTGCGGCAATCTTCTCCTCTTTCCTCTCCGGCTCTCCCACCGCCTCTGGCTTGGCCTCCTCCGCAGCTTCCTCGCCTTTCTTTGCGGCCTTCTTCGTCACACCTAAACTGTGTAGCTCATCATCATCGAGAGCTGCCCCCTCTTCGTCTACATAGACGGGCTCATCCTCCTCGTCAGCGTCAGGGTTTGGGGCGCGCTTGGGGCGTGGTGCGGCTGTGGAGCCCGAAGTGTTCTCGGCACGGAGGCGCTGGAGGAAGGGCGGGAGAGAGGAGTCGTATGAGAGACTTTTGGAAGTGATTTTGGGGGACATGTCGACAGAGGATTGTTAATTGGCTGTGATAGTGCCAAGGCGGGGTCGTCGAGGCTGAATCTAGAAACACCGTGCTGTTGGTGAAGAGTGGTGCACGTGATTAGATTTATTGGTGGTTTCTGTTGGAACGGGAAGTACCGTGGTACGGGATCACACACAAATCGTGTGGTTTCTCCAGTGGTCGGGACTTCTCACGGGCGCAACGGGGCAGGAGTTCTCACACAGTATATAGCTTACTATAGCAAAATAAGATCGATTGATTAACTACACTATCTAATGGGACTACGTGGCTATTTGTAGGCCTTTCGGAGTCAATTGCTGCTATTTACACATTACCTGCGCACCGAGCAACGCGCATCCTAGGTATCCTTCAGGTCCCTATACCCGCCTCTTTAGAAGCAAAGAGAGAGGCTGTACGGTTCCAATTCATCTAGGTTCATAGCTCGAAATGGAGAAGAAGCATTCGCGCAACTGCATACACCCCCTATCGGTTTGCCCAGCGTCAGATAGCCGCCAATGGTCACCAGCAGTCCTACGTGTCAGAACTTATTCGGAAATTTGTGTCTGAGGACGAGACCGCAACTTTAAACAGATGAGGAGGCTATTGTATGGACTGAGCAAGCCTTACGGTACTGCGGCAGACACTACAGTGATAACTCTTAAGTGTCTTCACCATGGCTATGGTTATGTTTCCTCGCGTACAGCACAAGGCACAAGAGGAGATTGACCGTGTGGTTGGCACCATCGCCTACCAAATTTCAATGACCGGGGCAGATTGCCGTATGTCAGCGCTATAGTTAAAGAAACCTTGAGATAGATGGTGGCCCATTGCCCCGATGGGCTTCCCGCACGCAGTTGATGGTGACATTGAGTGCAACGAACTTCATATCCCGAAGGGAGCATTACTTCTCCTGGGCGTCTGGTGGTTCCTGCACGACCCAGAAGTATACTTTGATCCAGCCCCATTCGACCCAGAACGTTTCCTGAGCCCACGCAACGAGCCTGATCCAGATACGAAGGGATTTGGTTACGGGCGCAGGATATGCCCTGGTCGGTTTTTTGCGGATTCGAGCCTCTATATCAATATGGTGCAGACTTTAGCCACCTTTAAAATCGCCAAGTCGATTGGTAAGGATGGAAAGGAAATTGCCGTTGATGTGAAGCTGAAACCTGGTATCTTGAGCTATCCAATCGAATTTCAGTTCCAGGCCGCGCCGAGAAGTCAGAAGCACATGGATCTAATCCGACGAGTTGAGTTAGAGCATCCTTTGAGGTAGGTGACGCTGGGCTTCTCGGGAGCGAGACGGATTAAGGATTCACATAGTTGCAATGTGTAAACAGGCTCTTGGGGAAGCATGGTCCAATTATAGCTATTACGTATTAAGTCACTGTACCGTAGGAGAGAACAGTCTCTGTCTTCACATGATAAAAATTGCATCGTGGAGCACGGCAAACAATTATGGCGAGGAGAACAGGTACAGGAGTTAAGAACTCCGAGCTTAAGTATTCAGCTTAGTCCGAAGAGGTCGGGACGAACGTGAGGATCAGAGATCGTCATGCATCGTGATACAGGGGAACGGGAGACGCACACATCTCTGCGGACCATCAAAGCTTGGTATTTTTGTGAAGGAAAAGACAGGCCACGGAATTAAATGTTCGTCAGCAACCAACCAATGATTTTTGAGATAGTATTTCCACGTACCCACGAAATAATAGACCTCACTTGGCAAAGAGCAATTGCGTGCTGAGGCAATTCTCATATATAGGCAAGAATAGATGTGGTGGTGGCCCGTGTGCTGGCGCCCAGACATTAATACTCGACGTGGCTGAAACGAACCACATCGTCGAGGCGGAATCACGAGTGTTTGAAGAGTTTCACGTCGTCGTCGTTTGGGAAGGTCAGTAATGAAGTGTTTATGGGATGCTGCGTTGAGGCGCTCAGTGTGTATATAACCAGCAGGTCTGTTACCACTTTTTCTTGCCATTGTGTTTATCCGTTCGAGTTTTTTCTTTCCTCAGTTTCCATTCTTTCTCCGCCTGGTGCGAGTCCATTCCTTCGTCGACTTCCATTCTTTATACAAGTCCTCCTTAGTTCGAGTCCTACCTCATTCATTTTACAAGATGTCCAGTTGTATTAAGAAAACATGCTTGCTGGCATTTCTCCTACTCAACTGTGAGTTTTATCACGAACCGTTCTAATTATTTCAGCTATAACACTCTCCTAATGATTTCTTCCTGCTAGTATCCATTCCCGCCGTCGCCCTCCCAGCTATTTCACTTCGACAGGTTGCCCCGGGCACACAATTCATTACGGGAGCTTGCACCACGGACGCTGATTGTGCATCGGCCTGCTGTGGGTTCAAATCTGGCAAATGTGCTGGTCCGGTTGTCGCCCAGGAGCGTGACGGTGGCTGTGGTTTTGGGGATGCGCAACCCAATGATACCGCGGCGAAGGCCCTAACAGGCGGTGCACCAGTCAACAACGGAAATGCTGCTTCTGGACAAGCAGCGGCCGCCGCTGGCACCAGCGCTAAGCCAGCTGCTGGGAGTCAATTCATTACGGGGGCCTGTACTAGCGATGCCGACTGCGCATCGGCCTGCTGCGGTTTCAACTCTGGCAAATGTGCAGGTCCGGTCGTCGCTCAGGAACGTGATGGTGGCTGTGGGTTTGGTGACGCGAAGCCTAATGATACTGCTGCAAAGGCCCTCACTGGCGGTGCGTCAGCCAACAACGGAAATGCTGTTGCAGGGCAGGCTGCTGCGGGCCAGGCTGTTGCTGCTAGTACTAGCGCCGCTGCAGCTCCTGGAAGCCAATTCATCACCGGAGCTTGCACGAGCGATGCCGATTGTGCGTCAGCCTGCTGTGGTTTCAATTCTGGCAAGTGTGCTGGCCCAGTCGTTGCCCAGGAACGTGACGGTGGCTGTGGTTTCGGGGATGCGCAGCCTAATGACACTGCTGCAAACGCTTTCACTGGCTAGTAATTGGGAGAAATCAGCCGTAGGGCAGTTGGATGATGATATTTATTTACGTCTAGCGGGACGTGGATGTAACCTGCCGCCCTAAGACCCCCGAAGGGTATGGGGACGTGCTAAGCTATGGGTTTATGTACAGAGTATGACCTTAGAGAGCAGTTCTTGCGTGTTTGCGTGGCTGTAAGGCCCCTTGACTAAGCGCCTTCGCTGCTAGTTAGGATGGTGTTAGGTTTGCTAGTAGAGGGCGGTGCCTTCCAGGTTCTCTAGAAAGGGGGTGTATGCAGGACCAGCTAGTCTGATGTTATGAGCCACTAGAGCAATTTAGCAACTGAATTACTGTTGCACTTTTAGCGTGTGACAGTAACTAGGGCCCCTGCCCCTCTATTCCCAAATCAGCGCTAGGCTCTCTAGGCCAAGAAATTGCCATATATGGCAATATCTAGTCGAAGGTGCCTATACCCCGCCATCATGCCCGTTGACCCTGATAATTAGCAGGGCTAATGAATGGCAGATTCACCGCCTGCCGCCCTTAATGAGGCACTCACAAGCCCTTGTCGCGAGGCACTTGTAAGCCCTCGTTACAACACACTTAGAAGCCCTCCTTGTCAAGGCCAAAGACTAGCACTAGGCATTAGCACACAAGGAGGATGAGGGCAGGACGAGGGCGAGGTGCTCCTGCTGTTGCTGCTCATCATAGTAACAGCCTAGGCAGCAACGATGTATCGTCACTGCCTAATTGAGCAGCAGCAGCAGCGGTTGCTGTGAGTGGTTTGGTGGCTAGTGTTTATTTATGAACACTAGTCGTTCTGCCTAGGGGACCTACCCCTAGTTAATGTGTAGTGCCTGTTCTAGTTTACAGAACAGGAACTACGCTAGCTGATTCCCCTGCTCCGTATTACAGAGGTGACTTAACAGAGCTGTCTAGAACTGACTACATCGTCTATGCTAGACTAGCCTACCTAGGCCGCTAGGTCAGTGTCATGTCTTTAGATGCTCTAAGGCCTGGCTTAGCACTATGTTTAATGGCACAGTGCTATTCCCCGCAGCCTAGTTTAGGCCGAGTCTCTAGTGGCACCACACGCTGACATACCACCAGCTAGTACTAGGGTCAAGAGAGTCTGTGGGGTTGGGGGGGTCTAGGGCTTTGCAGATGGCACTTTCTGTCCACATTGCCAGCTACAAGGCAATGTGGCCTAGAGAGCTGTGTTCTCTAGACACAAGCACCTTTACGACATTAACTAGCAAGCCATCCATACCCTAGATGTCTTGATCAGCTTGCTTGTAGGGCCATTTGCTAGCCTAGTTAGTAACTAGGCTATATGGCGTAAGTCTGGCTGCAACGTAGCTATCTGCAAGGTAAGTCCCCCCTTCCCCCCTCTTGTAACTAGTGCTAACCTCTTAACAGATTGTAGAGCGTCATGAGACCCTCCTCTATGTCTTTGGCCACCTAGCCTGCTCAGCTGCCTTTGGCACTGCGTGCCTGTTCAAGCATCCTCTTAGGGGGTTTAGCTTGCCTAAGGACTAGTAGTGATGGAACGCTGCTCTGTCCTCTGTTAGGATTGAGGTTGAGAGAGTCTTTGGCTCTGTCTAGCAAAGCTGGACGTATACTGCCTTTGGAAAGGGGCTAAGGGCTGGTATGCACAGTCTGTTGCTACATACTTTGTCGTCGCTGTCTTGCTCACGAATGTGCAGACATGCCTATAGGGGCGAGAGCGGAGGAACCAGTTTAGATTAACTCCACTATAGTAGACTCCTATCTATCATAGCAGAGGGGGAATTAGGAGGGGTATTAGGAGGGGAATTAGGAGGGGAATTAGGAGGGGAATTAGGAGGGGAATTAGGAGGGGAATTTTAGGAGGGGAATTAGGAGGGGAATTAGGAGGGGAATTAGGAGGGGAATTAGGGGGAGGGGGATATAGGTATATACATCCCTATTTCCCTACCCCTAATTCCCCTCCTAATTCTCCCTCTGCTGCATCATCGCTAGCATCTGTGCGACATTGTCGTTAACAGTGCTAACCTTGGACTCTAGGTCCTCGAGCCGCTTCTTGATAACAGCATCCTTTTCCTCCCTCTCCTCCTCCTTTAGGGCGCTGCCTATCTGACTCGCAGCCCTCTTGACAACGCTAATGAGGTGTTCGAGCCCTATAGCAATAGGATCCCCCTGAAGGCTATAACTGGTGCTAGGGCGGCTAGTCGTTGTCGTCGTCAGGTTGTAGGGTCTGTAGTTATAAGGTTCGGGGCCTTGAGGGAAGTGCTGCTCTTGTCCTTCTCGTCCTCTTGCTAGCAGGCACGAGAAGCAGCTCTTAAGAGCTGCATCTTGTCTGCCTAGAGTGCAAGAGAGGCCTGCTGCTAGGCTGCTAATGCAGTTGTCTCTGCATTAGCAGTGCCTTACACCTCTTGCTAAGCTTGCTTGACCTCCTATCGAGCATCAACCACAGTGATCTAGGAGCCTAGAGCGTCTGTCATTCACGGCTATTAAGCTTGGCAATATACGCCCTATGCTTGCGGACAAGCTTAGCTACAGCCCAGCTAAGCGTTTGGTGCTCTTTGCCTTAGTCTACCATGAGGCGCTTAGCAATCCACTTCCAAAATGCTTAGTTAGACTAGTGGCTGTATGCGGCCTGCTGCTGTAACGCTGACTTCTAAACAATAGAAGACACAGAGGTTTCTTGCATAAGGTTGACTTGATAGAGGAGGCAGGGGATTAGACACAAAGACTTTCCAAGTAACACGTTATAGTATTGTAAAGAATACTATATTGAGTTGAGCACAAAGCTCCTATCTAAGGAAATACTATCTACTTATATAGTGGCGTCGTACCAAAGGGATATCTGTGGATAAATGGATAATAACTTACTTCAATGATGGCTTGTAGTATAGAAACAGTACATTAGGCTATCTAGTATATTTTAAAGCAGAACTTAATCGACATATTGTGAACTAGGAGAGAAGCTCCTCAGATTCCTTAGTTGGGGACAACAAACTGCCATCTGTGTCTTGGTGAAGTAGAGGTGCAGGGGGGTCTTCTTATAATAAGTCCTGTATATGTTAGCTGATTACTATAGTGACTTACCTAGTCACTGTGTCAATTGCTAGGGGCAGGTTGTTGGTAAAATCTAGGTTAGTGTTGAATTTCTTCATTAGCCTCAATGTTGACTTGTATGCTGCTCTCCACTTACAGCACCAAATAGAGAATCTAAGGCCTTTAAATTTCTATATCTATAACGTACATGTATAGCGAAAGCGCCAAACAAGCGAAAGCGCCAAAATGATGCGGTGACCAAACCCCCCAACTAAATGTTAAATTCCTCAACAACAAAACATGCCCCATAAAAACGATGAAAGCCAATTAGTGCTAGCTATCCAGGCTATGCAAAGCGACCCAAAGTTACGCCTTTGAGTTGCTGCTAGGATCTATTCTGTGGACCACCGCAAGCTAGGTCGTCGTCTAGAAGGTGTACCTTCACGACGCGATATCCAAGCCAACTCACGGAAATTAACTAACCTAGAGGAGTCCGTCCTTGTTCAGTATATACTCGACCTAGCTGCCAAAGGGTTTCCTCCTCGGCTGTCTGTTGTTGAAGATATGGCAAGTCGACTACTTGCAACACGCGACGCGTCACGCGTTGGGTCGCGTTGGGCTTCAAACTTTGTTAAGCGGCGTGTAGAGCTCCAGACACGCTTTCAGCGCAAATACGACTACCAGAGGGCTAAGTGCGAAGATCCAGAAGTTATTAATGGCTGGTTTGAGCTTGTGCGTAACACAATTGCGAAATATGGTATCGATGAAGCAGATATCTACAACTTTGATGAGACTGGGTTTATGATGGGCGTTATCTCAACTGCTATGGTTGTAACAAGCTCAGACGGGCGGGCAAAAGCAAAGAAGGTACAGCCTGGTAATCGGGAATGGGTTACAGTAATCCAAGGCGTTAGTTCTCAAGGTTGGGCAGTACCACCATTTATCATTGTTGCAGGCAAAAACCACCTTACATCTTGGTATGAGAATAGTGGATTTTCAAGCGATTGGGTGATTTCTGTTACTGAAAATGGCTGGACTACAAACGAGAGAGGCATGGATTGGATTCAGCACTTTGAGAAGCATACAAAGGCCCGGAGTGTTGGTGGTTATCGCTTGTTAGTCCTTGATGGTCATGAGAGCCACCACTCAGATGAGTTTGAGGAGTACTGCAAGGAACACAACATTATTACGCTTTGTATGCCTGCTCACTCTTCTCATCTACTCCAGCCACTTGATGTTGGCTGTTTCGGCCCGTTAAAGCAGGCCTATGGTCGGCAAATTGAAGATATGATGCAGGCTCATATTTCTCATATTACAAAGGATGACTTCTTTCCTGCCTTCCATGCTGCATTTAACACTACAATGACGGAAAGTAACATTCGAGGCGGGTTCCGAGGGGCAGGGCTTCTTCCATTTGACCCTGAGAGAGTAATATCTACACTTGATCTTAAGTTAAGGACACCAACGCCTCCAAGCTCCCGCCCAGGTACTGCTCAACCTTGGGTTTCTCAGACACCAAACAACCCAATTGAAGCTATGTCACAGTCTACATTTATTAAAACTCGGATTTCACGCCATCAAAATAGCTCTCCAACCTCAATCTATGCAGCTGTTGACCAGTTTACAAAGGGTGCATCGCAAATAATGCATCAATTAGCACTGCTAAAGGGAGAGAACCAAAACCTACGACAGGCAAATGAAGTACTAAGCAAGCGCCGGAGAGCTAGGAAAACACGACTACAGCAAGGAGGATCACTTAGTCAACAAGGGGCGCAAGAGCTACAGGATGAGAGGGATGTTGTGCAGCAGGTAGAGCAGGAAATAAGGGCAAGCCGTGGTCGGAAGCCAAGGGAAGAAACCCGTGCCCGTCGCTGTGGCAAGTGTGGTGAGACTGGGCACAATGCGCGCACGTGTCAGATTGTAATAGACACCTCTGAGGAAGAGGACTCCGAGTAGTTTCAATTGATTTCTAATGTTGTGGTAGATTTATCGCAATGTTTGTCGTGAGGGTAGATAATTTTGGCGCTTTCGCTTGTTTGGCGCTTTCGCTATACATGTACGTTATCAGTATTGGTCTTGTAATAGTGTTGCTGATTGTACCTTGGTTGTAGCATTAGCCTGTCCCTTAACCTTCAACTAGGTGTTCTCAAGGTCTTCCTTCCTATAACCATTGGCCTTCTTGTCTTCCCTCTACATCGCTTCTTGAATAACATCATCTTCTTCCTCCTTAGTTTCCCAAGCCATGTTGTTACCATCCTAATGCGCATATGCCCTACCGCCTGCTCTAATCCTAAGGTTTTGCCTAACAATACTTACATAGACTCCATCTCTAACACTGTTTCTTAGTTACTATAATGATTACTATAAGGAAGGTAGAGAGTCTTACTGTTTTAGTCTCACCTTATCCTTCTTTTTTGCCTAGACTTATTTGTCTTGTTTAGCAGAATGTGAGGTCCTTGAATTGCTATGTGCCAGGGACCTTCTTTATAGCATAGGTGGTTGTAGCAGTATCTACCCTCTTTGCATTGTCGATCTTACACTTAGGCTCACTTATGTCTTTGCGCCTGTTCTCCACACATTAGGTGTACTTCCTAGTTGACTTTTCAGTGTCTGCCTTCCGTTTTCTAGCCATTGTATTTGGCTTACTAAAATTGTTACTATAAAACAGATGTAAAGAATAGAATGGACTTACTAGTAGAGAGACAGCTGCATTTATAATCAGGGTTAGAAAATCAATTATAATCATGATTTATAATCATGAATAATGTGGTTGTACACCAAGTCGCACATAACACTGAGTCGTGCATGACACCAAGTCACGCACTACCCCACCTCTACCACTTCAAAATATAATTAAGCAACTACAACACATTAAATTGACTAAAGCTACTTAGAATCTGATAAACTAGGTATATCTACAGCTACTTGATAAGTTCGTGCATTATGACCTGTAACACATAGTCACTGGAGGTCATTGGAAGTGTTGGTGGTAGACAAGTTGTTGATTAGTTGAAGTATATAGGTTACAACTACTGAGAACTATATATGTGGGTGGGTGCCACGCCAGTGGCTCCCGTGGCTCTGAACCCCGATTCCTGCAACATGACCAGTCTTTCCACAAGTACCACAGTGTCGTCTAGTCAATTTCCCCTCATTCTAAAAAGCCTCCCTAGAGCGCTTATAACGTTGTACCTACTCATCTACCTCTTTTTGAGACAATATGTCATGTGCATCCTTTACAGTAAGTGCACTTCCTTAGCAGAGTGAGTCTTTTTAGCCCTATGATGCTTGCTAAGGGCTTCATTTGCTACTCGAAGTGTATGGACTTCAGCAGTAACAAGAGTCAATTAATGAGATAATCTCTGTACCCTTTGCTAACATAGCGACTGTTTTAAAAATTAGGGTTGGCGAGCTTCCTTAGTGACAAGCAATACATTTCTTGACCAAAGTTGTCTATAAGAGAGCATCAGTTAGGTTGTGAGATCTTTGACAATATTGTAACGCTAACTTCTAAACGATAGAAGGCACAGAGGTTTCTTGCATAAGGTTGACTTAACAGAGGAGGCAGGGGATTAAACATAAAGGCTTTCTAAATAACATGTTACAGTATTCTAAAGAATAGTATATTGAGTTGAGCACGAAGCTCCTATCTAAGGAAATACTATCTACTTATATATGTAATGGTGGGTGCACCAGATGTGAGAATCTAGCCACCCAAGGAAGGGATGATTTTACTAAGACAACACACTGTCTTAGGAAACAGAGCCAAAGGGTTGTAGCTTAGACTATTCCACAACATAGCAATCAGGTGTATAATGTATTGAAGTGGTTTAGACAAGTTGAACAAATGTGGAGTCTGAGAACTCAGGGGTAAGTCAGAGGTTAGCACCTCACTGATTTTTCAGAAACAAAGAACAACAAGATCAATGCTTGGGAGCTTGGAAAAGATGTAGAAGTATGTTCTAGTCGATTTACTGTATTGTCTGCTTGCCCTTTCTTAACAAAAGGGCAATCCTATTTATGCCAAAGGAGTGTAGTTGTCTCATTTTCCAAGACTTTCCATGACTAACCAGGCTGGGTAACTGTATTAGAAATCAAGTGCGAGCCACAACTAGGTTGTTAATCATGTAGTGAACGTAAGAGAATCCCATAAAACCATGTCTTAGGTCCCTAGCCTATAGGAAGTGAAGGAGGTCCAAGGTCAGAGTACTCCTATAGACAAATTATGTCATAACTTAACCAATCTTGTGGGTAACTAAGGAGCGATGATGTGTAATAAATCATAAAGGGTTGTAGAAGCTTCTAGGGCCATTGTCCATGTTCCTAGGCCTCTAGTTGGGAGAGATATTCCATGTGGTAGTATTGGCCCACCCCCTTAAGGAGAAGATTTTCTTAATAACTTGTTCAATAAGTGTCCAAATGATATGCTGTGATGTATGTAGCATAAACAGATGTAGTAGAAGAGTTTTCAGCAATTGTTGAGTAGTATTGCTCTTGTTCTTGGTGTGATAAGCCAAGATATGTATGGTAACTTGTAGGTTTGAGGAGGAGATTTCTAAGTTTATTCTTGAGTTTGATAGCGAACTGTGTAAGGATGCCTCCTTACCTAGATACTCGAAGAACCCGCCTCAGAGCTGTTAGGGTCACCACAAGCATGAAATCCGACTCGGTGTGGTTTACGAACCAGTAGAGGAGCACATAGCGAGTTACACTATAGTGGGGACGGTAAGGGTGTAGGGTTCAGGGTCAATGCGGACCTGTTGCGGTGGAAGGTTCAGGGCTAGGGTTGGGATAACCGAGTCGGGCCCGTTTCGGGTACTTAAGGAAACAGACTTAATGGGGTTCCCCCTTCATCTTTTTTGTATCCTTCGTAGTAGACCTATAGGATAGCATCCGTTTAGCCTCCGACTCGCAGTCTCATATGCTATTACTGTGAGGTGGGTGCCCTGTGTCCTTACAAACTGAGTGCAATGAATGTCAGTATAATAATATAGTGGCATCGTGCCAAAGGGAACTATAAGGAACTGTAGGAACTGTACGAGTTCTAACAGTTCTCATAGTTCCACCCTAAGGGACTGTAGGAACTGTATGAGTTCTAACAGTTGTCACAGTTCCATCC